CATGCCCTCATGAAAGCAGCGGCATTGAAATAGTGTCACATTCTTGGATTCTCAGCGACGAGTGGCACTTGGCAAAGGCAGAAAGACATTTGCACACTAAATGTTGTGTACAAATTTTGTACGAGACATCACAGTTTTTTGTGCACACGAACTATTCGTACGAATCTGTTCAAAATTTTGCACAATTTTGTGCAAAAATGGTGAAAACTGTGCAGTTTTTCGTACGAAAATTGTACGAAAATTTTGTGTGCACAAAAAACTGTGATATATCGTGCAAAATCGTACGTAACATTCAGTAGGTTTTAATTGCCAGGGAACTCCCTCCTGGAGCGAAATAGCGACACTCTTCGCCATTTCATTGCACAGTACAAAGTAACTCGTAACATTTCTGGTTGAGGGGAAGTCGACCCCCGTGGGTCATGCATGACAGCTCTAGCCGCAATGCATGGAAATCATGGCAATAATGGATGGGGTCGCGGGCCATCACGCTCGCTAGCTGCTCGTCGCGACCACCGTATGCCGCCGCGCCCGGTCGACCCTGACCCTGAGAGCAGCTTCGGAACCGGACAACGATGGCCGCTGGTGTCGCGTTTGTCAAGCTGCTGGTGTCCGCGGGGGCGTTCTTCCCGCTGTACTTTTCGCCCAGCGAGCAGTCCTTCAAAGCATGGGGCTTCTGGGTGGCGTACCCGTACTCGCTCGCCACAGCATTCCACTTGGTGGCGATTTTCACCGGCGAGCACGGCGAGATTGTGTCCTTCCTGGTGGCGATGGTGACCGTGAGCGAGATGTTGGTGATGCTGCAGCGGTGCTGGCGGCGCCGCCGTTTCGTCCTGCTCGCCAAGTGCGTGTCCCTGTACTGCCGGCGCTACCCGCTGTCGGCGGACGGCTGGCGGCTGCTGCATGCCGTTACCGCCCTCGGCGTGGCCATCGTCGTCTACTGCGAAGTCCTGGACGTGATGGACTTCTACGCGTACGGACGCATCCAGTCCTGGGACGCCATCCTGATGGCAACCATCGAGTCGATACGGATTTCTTTCGATATCGTTAACCTGGTGTTCCCTCTGGTGTTGGTGGCGGCGCTGTCCAGAGACCTCAGGCGTGACGTCGTCCACGCGGTCGCTGCGACGCGCGACAGGTGCTGCAAGACCGTACCCAGGTGACACTCTGAAAAGCCTACGAAGCATTTGCTTCATAACTGCTAAGAAAATGAAGGGATTGTAGAATCGCTTCGTATTGTGAAGAAATGCTTTGTATTACGAAGGATTTTGCTTCATAATACGAAGCATTTCTTCGTACATTTTACAATGCCTTCATTTTCTTCGTAATACGAAGCGATTCTTCGTAGAGTTTTTACTGTAGAGTTGCCACGGATATCAGCGGCGCAAGTTTAAGTACCCCGCTAGTACCACACGTAAATACCTGTCTGCTCAATACACACTTTGCATGCTTGCAAGCACACACTTACAAACGCACTTGGCCACGTGCACACCTACAATTGCATACTTTGCAAGTAGACGCACTTACATACACTGTAAAAAGTGATCGGAATTTTACCATACAGTGGTCTAGCAAAATTCCTATACATGTATAGGAAATACCAATATTCCGATACATGCATAGGATTTTTCCGATTTGTATTGGTTTTTTGCTAGACGAACCGAAAATGTATAGGAAAATTCCTATACATGTATAGCAACTGCCATAAGTCCTATCCATGTATAGGAATTTTGCAATACGTGTATAGCAATAGGGCCAACTGATCAGGGGAGCTTTGTTAGAAACAGTTAAAACTACGATTGAAATCCTTGTGACCTGTACAAATATTGGTAATCAGTGCGAGTAATAATTCACTTGTGACAAAAGTCGCGAAGCTCCTTCTTTGCCTATAATCCGGATTATCCGCTAGATGGCGCTAGTGTCGTTTTCACGGACTTACTTCTCGGTGGGTGCTACGGTTGGGAATTTCGTTGGGTGACGAGGCAGGCGCTCTCCCGACATAGAAGGAAGTCGGACATCGTTCAGACCTTACCCACAATTTTTGACCAAGACTAGTCCTCGCTCTTTTGAAGAGGATAGTTGGAGGCGACGGACTTCGCCATATTGGTGAACCGGTTCACCGGACGACAGGCATTAGGACTAACCGGCGAGAACCTTCGCGTACAATATCTGCCACGATTCAGTTTTGCGGCCTGCATAATTTGCATTTTTTTCCCTCAATCGGAGAAATTCTATACATGCATTGCAATTCTGCTATACCGATGTATAGGAAAAATCCTGTACAACAGATAGGACAACGCCTATACACGTATGGTCATAATGCCATACCGATGTATAGGAAAATTGCCATACAAGTGTGTGGTAATATTCCTATACATGTATATGTGAATTGTTTCATATACATGTATAGGAATTTGACTACAAAATTTTTTTTACAGTGTAGGCATGCTTGGCGCCGTACTCCATGATAAGCACAGGCACTTGTGTGTACTTGCCAAGCATGAATTCGTAGGTGTGTGGTTGGCCCAGCATGCATTAAGCGTGTACTAAGTAGACAGTTACGTTTGTAGCGGAGGGCGCGCCGGCGTCGCCCCTGCCCTGCCCTCGCGTCACCACACACTGATATCATGCGGGCGGCTGTGAGGGTCGGGTTGCCCGAGCGGCGTATCGGCTCCACTCGCAGCTATTTACTCACGAAGTGCGTAGCACGCGTCGCGCAGTGCCTTCCCCCTCCCGCCAAGAGACGCCGCTAGCACGCACCGCGCAGCTGACCCCCGCACCCCATCCCCTGCCGCAGCAGCCTCCACACACACACACACACACACACACACACACACACACACACACACACTTGAACCATGAGTGCGTAGAACGCATAGTGCAGCGGCCCCCCGAACCCCTGTCCCTCCCGAGAAGCGGCGCGTCGGCTGCGCACGCCACTGTTGCTTGTATTTAGGATCGGGTGGCGAAGGCCAAAAATATTTGGCGATTTGGTTCCCAGGCGCACGGAGTGGCGAGAAATACGAGTCCGCCGCCACTGCCTCTGCGACTTCTACAGGGCGATAAACGCCTTGAACTGGCCGGCAGCGTTTTTCCGGTTCATGTTCTACGCGTACAGAGCTTGCCTCAACTTGGCGTACGGTATCAACGTGCTGCAGACCAAAGCCGCGCCGCTCCCCGCCTCCGCGGCCGTCCTGTTTGCAGTGCTGCTGATCCTGCAGCTGGCCGTGCTGTCCGGCGTGGCGGCTTGGGCGGAAATGACGGTGCGTATCTTCAGGCGCGGAGCTAGAGGCAGCTCGAGGAAGTACAGTGGGCCAGAAGACCGGTGGCGGCGGTTTAAATCCCGGACGGGTTTTGACGAGGGGGTATGCGCTCTCTGAACCTGTGTACCGACTATTACGCTATTACGCTCTATTACGACACAAATCAATCGGAATTTAGCTAAAACGGCCTGAAACACACCAAAATTGATAAAATTTTGACAATTTCGGCTATTACGCGACTATTACGCGTATTATTACGCGTGCTACTACAGATAGAGTGAACCGACTATTACACGAGTGCATTCCCCCTCGGGTTTTGAGCTCCATAGAGTCGCAAAATGGGACTCAAGCCGAATCATTGGATTGCTCTCCGAACGAGGAATCCATTCGCTGGGCCACACATTTGGTTTGAGTCCTGTTCAGCGACTGTGGAATTTAAAACGCGTCTGGAGTTTAAATCCCCGTCAGGAAGCGTCTTTGCTTCGCTGATGCTTCTGCTAATGCATCTCGTTTGTTGGCAGATAACATCACTTAACCGATATGCCGAGGACATGTTGATCCATCCACAATGCCGACACGCTACAGAAAAAAACACGCGTCGAGAAGTAAGTGATGGTTCTTAGAATGAGCGCAGACTTTTCTGACTTTCTTTAACAAAAAGAAGATCTCGAAAAACAGTTTGGACAGTCGCGTGCGTGGATTTGGCTTTTTAAATGCGGATTTGGAGGTTCAATAAGCATTTTTCTAAGGTATCAAGCTGTTCTGATTAGAAATACATCGTATTTTCCACATGTTGCGTTGCATTTTTATTTCGCAGAAAGTCAGTTTTTCAACCCGTAAAATAACAACTCTAGTACGAAAATTCGAAATTCTTAGCTTGAAAAGGAAACGTGTTCTCAACTTGCAGCGAGGACAGGAATGGTCTGTCCATGAGGAGTATTTCTTCACCTAAGAAAGACCATACTTGTTCCTTACGTATCCCCTCAGTTCAGGGTTATATCTCGCCGAGAAACCACTCACTGCCCTTCCCTGTCCTTTGAACAGGTGATTCATTTCGTTTACGACAACAACCATGAAAGGTGCGACTACTTGGATCTCAATGAACTGAAAGGCGTAAGTTAGAGATAACTATCAGAAAAAACGATGGGTCTCGCTAGCTTTCTCTTTGCCCATCTCGATAGAGGAATCTACTTCAAAATTGCAATTGCGAGGGCACTCGACATGCCCATTTCATGCAGTTCATTGATGTCGTCTTTTGTTTGTTGCAGGCCATCAATGCTATTATTAAATACGTTTTCGTCATAATTCAATTCGACACGGTGAAGAATTTAGACGACCAAGTATTATAATCAGTAACTGATTGTAAACTGTTCATAGTTTCATAAAAAAACGTACGATTTTGAGTGCAAGAAATTGAATTGAAAGAGAGAGGGTCTCACAGAGAATCATTTTGGTTCACGCTAAATAATGTGACACTGTCTCACTCTTGGGTTTACTGTGTACTACAATGAAACCATAAAGGTCAGGTAACATCTCCAGAGTGTTTTTTTTTTTAAATTATATCTTCTTATTCAATCTTGTCAAGTTATAAACACACAAAATGTTTTTTTATAAATTTTGAACGAGACATCACAGTTTTTTTGTGCACACGAACTTTTCGTACAAATTTGTACGAAATTTTGCACAAAATGGGGACTTTTGTACAGTTTTTCGCACAAAAATTGTACGAAAAATTCGTGTGCACAAAAAACTGTGGTGTCTCGTACAAAATTGTACATAAAGTTTAGTGTGAAATAAAGTAACTCGGATCACTCAATTCACAAGTGCGTGTATCCATTGAAGTTGTCCCCGCGATACGCGTTCAGGACCACGTCTTGAATTGACGCAGTTGTGTCGGAGGAGTTCGCGTGTGCCGTGCGTATCTTCTCGCGCAGCCATTTTCGTACACTGGCGTCGTTCAAGTCCACGAACACGAGGGCTCGGTTCGCGACTCTGGTGATCGGGAAGCTGTAGATGCCTCGCAGGAACCAGGAGCCGCCGCGCTGCACCAGGAAGGGCGCGCCAGTCTCGATCGTTTCTGAAATCAGTGAAAAGATCAGATTAAGAAAATATCCGCAGAAGAGACCCACTGTTCAAAAAACTGATTTCGGAAGGGAAAACTATATTTGGGTTCCGCATGTGGAGAGCAACCCAGTAAGGACCCAGGAGGGTCGGGACCGGCAACCCGGTAGCGACCTTTCACCATTCGACGTATCAAAAAACGAGCAGATGCTTCAAATCAAGAGGAACAAGCTAGGGCCCGCCCTTCCGTCGAACCGAATTGCCAGCTCCGCTTCGCTGCGCCGGCAACTCGGTTCGACAGGGGGCCGGCCCAGCTTGGCCTGCCGGCGGCCTTTTCTCGGGCCTTCGGCCCTCGCATCAGACCCAACGTGGCCAGTCGAAGACCCGGGCCTTCGGCCCGCTCGCATCACACACACCGTGAGCGGGTAAAGCAAAGTTATCGATGTACCATCGTGACTTAGGCCCGCCCTTCTATTCACAATATGCATAGTCCTTACACTTTTAACTCCAACTGTCCTTAGAATATGCCCATTTCGTTTGTCTCTTCGCCCTCATTCCGAAAATACCCATATTTGCCATGCTACTGCAACTCCTTGCAATAGAGGCACAGCAGGAGCGCAAAACGAGTCCGTCGCACTTTTTCCCATAACTCATGAAGGCGGGCTCCTGGACCCCCCTTCCGACCCCTCGTTGAAGAGGTCTTGCCAAGACCTATCCAAAACTTAAGTAAAAATTTTCAGTCGGTCGACCCCCTTTTTTCAAGATCCTGATGTGACTAATAGACGAAGTCGGGCTCCTGGACCCCCTTTCCGACCCCTCGTTGAAAAGGTCTTGCTGAGACCAATCGAAATCTGCAATAAATTTTTTTTTTAGTCGGTCGACCCCCTTTTTTGAAGATCCTGATCTGGCCAACTTGTAAAAGCGGCCGATGGGGTCGGGACCAGGTCCATTCATCTTGTCTCGTCGCCCCGATTCCAAAAATACCCCTATGTGCCCTGCTAGCACCAATAATGGCGGAAATCCCCCTCCCGCTCATGTAAACCATGATGCACCTGCAGCAGCCCTTGTGCGACCCGGACGGGATTTGCACCACCGGATTATTTGTTTGGACGGTACTCCTGAAGTACCCTCAAAATCTGGTTACTCTAGCTCAACTCCTTCCTTGTACACAGACGCCAACAACAACAACAACAACAACAACAACAACAACACACAGACACAAAGGCAAATGCATAGGCCCTCCCCCTATTTTTTGAATAGAAGGGCGGGCCAAAAATGATGCAAAATGAGTCATGATATTCATGAATGCAGAAAAGAGTTTCGTCGACGTGGTTTTCGATTACCCCTACATGACATACAGTGCACTCTCATCCTTTAATCGGCATTTTTGTCAATGATTATTGTCGTTTGAGCGTATAAAAGAATTTTGTTTAGAGGTTTGACAGAGTTGTCAAGACAAAATTGATATTCGTGTTTTTAATACAGAAAAACTTGTAATACGCTTATTAATGCATAATCATCATCAACGCTGCTGGGCCTATGCAGACCTTGAGCGGTTAGAGTCAGCAAGACACTCCGGCCTCGCGCGGCCTCTCCGCAACCTCAGATGCGGTAGGACTTCTGCATAGTCGTCCGCACAAACGTTAATACGTCATTAACCAAAAACTCAGTACAAGTCTCAGAGTGTAAGAAGCAAGAAGCATTTGCTTTATAACTACGAAGAAAATGAAGGCGTTGTAAAATTGCTTCGTATTATGAAGAAATGCTTTTCTGCTTCATAATACGAAGCATTTCTTTGTAGATTTGACAATGCCTTCATTTACTTCGTATTACGAAGCGATTCTTCGTAGAGTTTTGGCTGTGTACGTGCGATGCACCACCAGGCCGTACCACTCGAGTCCCCCGTGCAAAACATGTCTTCGGCGATGGAGTCCTTCGATGGCAGTCGGCCCGCCAGCCTGGTGCGGCAGTCCGCCGCGCCGAGCGCAGACAGCGCCACCAGGACGCGGCGGTCCGTGAAGAAACTACCGCGCCACGTCTCCACCTGAAAAATGACCCGCGTACATAAAATTGTTCTCACGCACACGGTAAAAACGGAACCTGGTTTTCCCAGGAAGCCAATGGTAAAGGTATAGGCAATTTCCAGGAGGTTCCTGGGAAAACCAGTAACCGTTTTCACCGTGCAGGGCGCAGAGGGACCCTTGCATTCAACAGCAAGCAATAGGAAACTTCTGACGTTTCCACTACCGAAATAAAACAATTGAAAGGCAATTTCTTTCTTTTAATTTGCGCGTCGCGAAAATTTAACCATAAACTGATCTCAAATACTTCAGGCGTCCGAAATAATCGATCTGGAGCCAATAAGTATCGAAGCGTGACGGTGGTCAATTTTATAAGTTACCTCCAGTTTTTGTTGAAACTTAGACCATAAGAGGTCAATTTGGGTCATTCCCGTTTTCCATAAGATGATGTACACCATTCTCAGATACACCTCTGGTTGGTGACACGCGACATAGCAATAAAGATAATTTCGATCCAATTTTCCAAATTTCATAGTAACAGCAATCATGTTTGATCGAAGCAAGGTAATGCCAAGGAAATTAAAATATGTCACTATCAGATCAAAGTAAAGGCGCAGTCACTCATAAGGCATCATCTCGGGCGTCCCCGGGGCATCAAGGTGGCATCGACGTGACTTTTCTGTTCTCGGGCACTCACCACGCCAATGGCGCCCGTAGCGATTGCAGGGAGTGCTGGTGCGTCGCCGTCCCAGTCGAGGCAGGGTACAACGCTGTTGGTGATGGGAGTCTTCAGCACCAGAAGAGCTACGCCCACACCCGAGGTTTGGCTTGATCTGCGGTCTCGCTCGTACACGTGCAGGGCGGCGACCTGGCGGCAGGGCGGAAAGGGATGAGAAATTCAATGGCCATCACAGTAATTCAACGAATGGGACATGGGACGTCATAATTGTCAAAATAAATAAATTTTGTGACGTTTGTTGGAACATGACACAGGCGTTTAGGATGTCACATTACTTCGAACGTAGGTGGATCAACCAGTATTTAAATTAACGGGACGAAATTTGTATTCAAACACAAATGACGTCTTAGTCGTTGACTAACGGCCATCTGCCACACTTAGGTCCTTACCAAGACGAAGTTCCTCTTGCCCGTAGGACCGACCCACGCCACGAACATTTGGCCCACGTCCACCGTCTGCACGTCCCCGGTGTGGTTCAGCCCGTCGCCCGGAACCAATAGGGAGGCGCCGTCTGCGAATAAGAGGCTCCGAGGGACTTACACTGGTGAAATAAAGGCATAAAAATTATGCCCTTTAAGGGCGTAAACGATTTACGTCCTTGAAGCGGCGTGAATCGTTAATGCCTTTTGGAAGGGCATTAAAATTTTGCTTAAAATGCCTTTATCAGTCACGCCCTTCCCAAGGGCATAAAAGGATTTGCGCCCTTGAAGGGCGTAAAAGAGTATTTATGACCTAAAGGGCGTAATTTTTATGCCTTTGTTTTACCGGTGTACGCACTTGTAGATGGAGAGCGTCCTAGGAAACTGGGTGTGAATGAATCAGCCAAAAATGGGCTTGTTCACATTCAAACGAATGTGACACAACGCTCGAAGGAACCTAATGTCACTCCTGGAATGGGATTGTTGTTCCCAGTAATGATTGACCCTTTCGTCCCATTAGCGGCAAGCACCTGGTTGGGCGAAATGCCGACACATCCCTTCGTCGTGTACTGACCGGTGAGCACCATGTCCTCCCGCACCAGCACGCCGACAATCACGCCGGGCCCGCCCTCGGCTCTTGCTCGGAACACGCCGACGGTCCAGGGTATGTGGCCGTACAGCTTCTGGCCGGCGGTGGTGAGTTGATTCAGAGGCAGCGAGGTCTGGCCGCACTGCAGCTCCGAAACAATATCAACGGGAAAATGGTAAGCGAAACGTGGAGAGCTGAATTAAGTGACGGGCCACGGCCAAGACAGTTGCCTCTCTCCCATACCAGTTCAAGGACAAAGCCACAGGCCACAAGGCTCGTCTGTATCTGTACCTTTAATGACGATGAATTGCCAAGCGTAGAAGGAAGAGATTTCGGGGTCGAAGTCGTTGGCGTGCTACTGGTGTTGGGCGTGGTAGTCGCGTTGGCGGCAGTCAGCTCCTCTGCCTGCTCGTCATCTGCGAAACAGCGCAGGACTGTTACTTCACTTTGTAGAGCGAAAAAATATCGAACAAGTGGTTTCCCTTTTTTGAGAAAAATCTCACTAATTGCCATATTGAAAGGAGATATCGCACTGAAAGATTATAAAAAAAGAAACCTGTTTTATCTTTGTGGAATGATAACGAAATTTTGGCCTTCTCCAGAGGCAACCTTAAGGTTCGACCGGCTTCGACGCTACCCTGAGCTTTCAACCAATTTAGAACTAGACTTTGCCCTGTTCTCCACTTTCTTCGAGAGACTCCCTTTGGTGAGTCGGTGCCGTTGATAGGGCTGGGCGGTATTTTCATCTCGATATCAATATCCAATATTTTAAAATATCCAATACACCACCAATATCAATATTTGATATTGAATATTGAATTTTCGATAATATTGAGGTTCCAATACCAATATTGAAATATTGTTTTTCAATACATTGAAGATCATCTACTATGTTGATAGTTAAAAATCTGCATAAGGCTCATAAGCTTCACTTTAAGCACAAAAATAAGCTCCTCTGCACAGTTTTCTTTGTGACTGGCCCAAGTATCGTTCTCTATTTCTCTATTTTCTCGATAATATCGCACAGTAAATTTGAATGTTCAATATTGGATATTGGTTCACCAATACTCAATATCGAATATTGATATCGAAAGTTTCAATATAGTGATATTGGAATTCCAATATTTTAAAATATTGAAATTGTAGTCAATATATTGAAATACCGCCCACCCCTAGCCGTTGAAGTGCTAAGTACACACTTATGCATTCAATGCACATTTATGTTTTCAATACACACTTATATTTTCAATTCACTCTCATATACACACTTATGTTTTCAATTCACTTTTCTCATGTACACACTCATGTTTTCAATTCACTCTCATATACACACTTATATTTTCAATTCACTCCCATGTACACACTTATGTTTTCAATCCACTTTTCTCATATACATACTTATATTTTCAATTCACTCTCATGTACACACTTATGTTTTCAATTCACTTCCCTCATATATACTGTTATGAAGTTGGCAGCACATTCCTCCCCTCGCTCGCGCATGCGCATTGTACGCGGTCCTTCCCTGTTGTCGCCTTGGCAACAGTACCCCCTTGTACCTCGGAGAGTCTGAATAAACCCGTTGGTGAACACATTCGGCGCATCCTTTCAGTGGTGTCAGAAGTAGTTCCGGACCCTCCCCAGCTACGCCCGGACCCTCCACCTCGTCTACGATGCCGGATGCACGTCGCTCTCGGGACGATGGCCGCGCCGGCAGCTCCGCAGGACGCCGCCCTGACCCGCTGGAAGCCATCGGCGAGCTCTTCTCCGACTGGGCCCAGGCCTCCACCCTGATGCAGCAGCAAAACACCGCCATCCTGCGCGCCCTGTCCGAGACCACGCAGACCAACAGACGCCGTGAAGGGAGGTCGGTACCCAACTTGACCTTTGATGGCTCTCGGTCATGGCCCATCTTCTTCGCCCAGTTTGAGAGCGTGGCCACCGACCCCGCCAACCTGTGGGACGAGGAAGAGAAGGGACGTCGCCTGCTCCAAGCCCTGCAAGGCCCGGCTGCTGACCTGGTGCAGACGCTGCCCCGCCAGGACTACTTGAACTTCACGGCGCTGAGCGAGCGGCTCCGCGCGCACTACGACCCGGCGCAACGCGGCATGGTCGCGGAGGCCGAGCTAGACCGCCGCGTGCAGCACCGCGACGAGTCCGTGCAGGAGTATGGCGCTGCCGTCCTGCGGCTTGCGCGGCTCGCCTACCCGACGTGGCCGGAGGAAGCGCTGCAGACGACGGCGCGGAAGGCGTTCATCGCGGGGCTGGCCAACAGCGACGTGCGCCGCCAAGTGCGCCTGCAGCGCGCCGAGACCTTCAACGAGGCCCTCACGGCCGCCCTCCACGTTCAGGCCGTCGAGGATCAGGAGCCGGCAAGTAAGCGTGCTCGCTTCCAAGTGTCCCAGGTTGGCGTCGCGACCAGCTCCGGCGCCGCGGCCACGCCCTCTACCGCCGATGACGCTGCTGACGCCGCCAAGGGTGACGTCGAGGTGCGGCGCGTGGATCCTGCCCCGGCCGACTCTGCGCAACAGATGCAGGACCTGCTGCGGCAGCTCGAGGGGCTCGTGAAGTCCTTTGCGTCCGCCACCTCTGCTGGCCCATCACGCCGCCGTGGCGGCCCCTCGCCCCGTTGCTACGAGTGCGACAGCCCTGACCATTTCGCGCGGAGCTGCCCTCTCCGGGACCAACAAGGCCGGGACCGCGGCCACAAGGATCGCGGACCCTACGACCGCCGCCAACAAGGTGCCCGTCAACAGGACCAAGGCCGCCGGGACCGCCAGGGCGGCGACAATGACCGCCGCGGCAGCGGCGGCAGAAGCCGGCCGAACCACCGCCGCGACGGCGGCCGAGGCAACAAGGACAGCAACACTGGTTCGGGAAACGGCCGGTAGTCGCGCCTGTGGGCACCGTCGCGGCTACCCCTTCCGATGCCCCACCACCTCCGCCTCCTACCCGGGTTTCCTGGCACATCTCCGGCAGAATTGCGGGTAAGCCATGTCAGATCATCTTCGACCCCGGTTCTGTTTTGACCTTGTTGCGCCAAGGGTTTCTGGACTCCCCCGAACCTCCCCTCCCCCGGGCTGCGCTGCATGCCCGCGGCGCTTTCGTTGGCCCCACTGCGCCCGGCTCGGCGGACATTCTCGGACCGCGCGTCGTTGCGCTCTCCTTGGGCGGCGCCCCCATCACCGCCAACGTCTTCGAGGCGCAGACGCACGACGAGTGTCTTTTGGGCGCGGACTTCGTCGCCGCTCATGTCAAGCAGTTCGACGTGGACAAGGACCTTCTCGTGCTCTCCGACGGCCAGCGCATCACCATGACCCGCCACACCGCGCCGGTGCCCAGCACGTGCCTCACCGCGCGCCTCGTCACCGTCAAGACCCTGCTGCTGCCACCAGGAGAGATGACCTACGTGGCCGTGTCGGCGAAAGGATGTGACGTGGTCGACAGTGGCGTTGCCGAGGTGTCTCCCTCCTTTCGGTCCCAGGGCCCGGGGCCGGAGGCGGTTGCCCTACGGGACACACTCAGTCGCACGCCGCCCTTGACCCTAGTCGGACAGGCTGTCGGGGATGGGTTGGTACCCCCGCACCGTAGCTCTCATCACGCTGGGGTGGACGTTGGGCTCCCCCCAGCGCCGGGCGGTCAGCTCGCTGACGTCCGCAGCGTGCGAGGTATGGACTGTATTGCCCGCCCAACTCTCCCCAAAGGCTTCGAAGCACGGAGCTCGGTCATCGCCGGCGAGAACGGCACCTTGCTCGTCGCCGTGTACAACGCCGGGGGCCAGGCCAAGAAGCTGCATGGTGGCCGTTGCGTCCTGCTGCTCAACGCGCGCGCCCCTGTTCCTGTCAACGCTGCCGCAGTGGAGGCTGGCTGCCTTCCGCCCCCTTTGGAAGACCTTCTCACCCGCTGCAGTGCGAATCTGACGGTACAGCAACGAACTCAGGTGAGGGAGCTTATCACTGAGTTCCAGGACACCTTTTCCTGCAATGGTGAAATTGGGCACTGCAAGTTGGTTGAGCATCACATCGACACTGGCGACGCGGCCCCCATCAAGGAGGCTCCTCGCCGCCTCGCACTGCACAAACAGAAGGAGGCCGACAAGTGCATCGCGGAGATGCTGAGCCAAGGCGTCATCCGTCCTTCGGACTCCTCCTGGGCTTCCCCTGCGCTCCTCCTCACAAAGAAGGACGGCAGCATTCGGTTTGCCATTGATTACCGTAAGTTAAACGCGGTTACCCGCAAAGATGCGTACCCCTTGCCCCGCATTGACGCCACCTTAGATTCCCTGCACGGCTCGTGCTGGTTTTCCTCCCTGGATCTGCGGTCTGGATACTGGAATATCCCTCTGGCTGAAGACTCCAAACCAAAGTCCGCTTTCACTGTGCCTCACCACGGGCTTTATGAATTTGAGCGGATGCCTTTCGGCCTCTGTAACGCCCCCGGCACTTTTCAGCGCCTGATGGATAAACTGATGCCGCGCCACCTTTCCCGCGTGTATCTTGATGATGTCATAGTGCCCGGTAAAACTTTTGCCGAAGCCCTGGACAACTTACGTGTGGTGTTGCAGCGTGTCCGTGAGGCCAATTTTCTCCTCCACCCCAAGAAGTGTCACCTGTTCGCCAACAAGCTGCAGTACCTCGGTCACGTCGTCAGCGCGGAAGGAATCCACACCAACCCCGAGAAGACAGCCAAGATCGTCTCCTGGACCATTCCCACGGACAACCCGGAAGCGGCTCGTTCGTCCCTTCACAGCTTCGTCTCTTTGGCCCAGTACTACTGTCACTTCGTCCCCAAGTTTGGTGACTTGGCTGCTCCCTTGCATCGGTTGAAGGACGCGAAACAGCCGTTCCAGTGGACTCCGGAAGCGCAGCAGTCGTTTGACGCCCTCAAGACGGCCTTGACGCAAGCTCCTGTCCTGGCCTTCCCTGACCCCGACGGCGGTAACTTCATCCTTGACACTGATGCTTCCAATTTTGCAGTGGGCGCCGTTCTCTCTCAGCTCCAGGGAGGGAAGGAAAGGGTCATCGCGTACTACAGTCATGTCTTGGATAAGGCGCAGCGGAACTACTGCGTGACCAGGAGGGAACTACTAGCCATCATCATAGCGATTCGATTCTTCCACCACTACCTCTACGGTCGGCCCTTCCTCGTCCGCACTGACCATGCAGCACTGCAGTGGCTTTTGACGCTCAAGAACACTGCAGAGGGGCAACTGGCACGCTGGCTGGAAACACTTGCGATGTACGACTTTTCTGTCCAGCATAGGCCCGGCCGTCTGCATGGCAACGCCGACGCGCTGTCGCGCCGTCCGTGCGACCCTGGCTGCCGTCACTGCGCGAAGCGGGACGCCCCTGCCAACCGGACTCGACTGGAGGACGCTGGCGGGCCTTCCCCGGAGGACATCGCCGCTGCCCAGACCACTGACTTGGACATCATGCCCATTCTGCTAGGCCTCCAGCGCGGCGAACGGCCCTCGGCGGCGTCCATGGCGCACCGCGGTTGGCGTTCCAAGGCACTCTGGCTACAGTGGCGCTCCCTGGACCTGGTCAACGGCGCGGTGTACCGTCGCTTCGAAGACAGCTGGGGCAAGAAAGTCAACCGCCAGCTTGTGGTGCCGCACTCCTTCATCCCGGAGGTCCTCACGCAGTTCCACGACTCCCCCGGGTCTGGAGGTCATCTCGGAGTGGGAAAGACGGTGGACAAGATCAGGGTCAAGTACTACTGGCCAGGTATGTACGAGGACACAAAACTCTGGTGCCAGTCCTGTGAACGCTGCCGCAGGAAGAAAGGACCCGGGCACCGCGTGCGAGCTCCTCTCCGTGTCCACACCGTGGGCATTCCCTGGGAGCGTGTCGCCGTGGACATCGCGGGCCCCTTCCCCCGGACGGAGCGCGGGAGCCGCTACCTGCTGGTGGCAGTGGACTACTTCTCCCGCTGGCCGGAGGCCCTGCCCATCCCGAGCCTGCACTCCGAGATTGTGGCCAGGACCCTGGTCAACCACATCTTCTCGCGCTTTGGCTCTCCCTGCGAGTTACGCTCTGATCAGGGACGGTCTTTTGAGTCCGCAGTGTTCGCAGAGGTCATGAAGATCATGGGCATACGGAAAACCCGTACTACGCCCTTGCGTCCTCAGTCCGACGGCGCGGCCGAACGACTCATCAGGACAATTGTCACCCAGCTCTCTCTCGTTGTCAACCAGGCTAAACATGACTGGGACTTGCAGGTACCCCTGGTGCTGCTTAGCCTTCGAGTCTCACCGCACGTCACCAACGGCGTGTCCCCTGCCATGCTCCTCTTTGGCCGGGAGCTGAGCGTCCCGCCTACCCTGGCCCGTGGACGACCCCCCGACACTCCGGACATCCGAGCTCGGCTGGAGTACCCCGTCTGGCTGCGGGAGCGCCTTCATGAGCTCCACCATGACGTGCGCGAGCGCGCCCTGGCCGCGTCACTCCGCCACAAGGAGCGGTACGACATCCGGACGCGCCGCCCCACCCTGGCCGTGGGCGACCTGGTGCGGCTCTTCGACCCGAAGCGCCGTGTCGGCGAGTGCTACAAGCTCCAGTCGTGGTGGTTTGGACCTTATCGGATCATTTCCCTAGTTAATGATGTTGTTGCACGGATAGTGCTTGTTTCTAAACCAGACTCTCGCCCTCGCGTGGTCCATGTGGACCGCCTCTCTAAATTCATTGGTCGCTAAACTCTTTAAATTCTGCTGCAACCTCCGTCTTTCAAAGAAGGGGGTAGTGTTATGAAGTTGGCAGCACATTCCTCCCCTCGCTCGCGCATGCGCATTGTACGCGGTCCTTCCCTGTTGTCGCCTTGGCAACAGTACCCCCTTGTACCTCGGAGAGTCTGAATAAACCCGTTGGTGAACACATTCGGCGCATCCTTTCAATACACTTATGTTTTCAATTCACATTCAAGTTTCCAGTGCACCTTGATCGTCTGAGATGGCGTCCCGCGTCTTGGCAGCCAGCCACTGCAGCACGCCGGGGTCGTCCAGGTTGATGAAAGAGAGCACTGTTAGTTGGGACTGGCCGCTTAAGACGCTGCGGAGATACCAAAGGCCGTCCACTCCCCTCACGGACAGCCCGTAGCCCAGGACCGGAATATCCGCGTCTGCAACAGGAACGCCACATTCACCCAATGTGCCTGTCTTCCAAGGAAGTGTCAGGAATTCATTAATTCAAGCGAAGGCCTTAGGAGTGCATTCCTCTAACCATTCTCAAGACTTTAATAGTCACTCAGTCATCAGAACGGTTACGGTCAGCGAAAACAAAGGCCCAATCAGAAACGGCGCTAGTGATTCAACCGTACTGTGTAACCCAACGAAAACCAGGAAAATCGCCTACCTGCTTCTAAACCCATAACCGTGGTTTCGGCGCAGAATTCGTCTTCGGTTCCGTTGGTTTCGTTGAGGCGGTTTTTGCATCCGCCTGACCTGAGGTAATAGACTGGGATCAGCCAGTTCCGATGGGCCCTCACGTGGACGCTGAACTCAACCTGGAGATGGCAGAGCGCTTTAACAATGGTGTAACCGGCGGCTGCACTGTCCTTTGAATGTGTGCATGGAGGTCTTCACTTCACGCTGAACTGTAGGCTCCAAGAGTGGTGCTTCTGAGCTTATTGGGAATGAAATGCAATTTTGAATTGGTGATCTGAGAAGCGGTGCATGCACTAGAGAGAGGAACTAATGCGCACTGCTACCCCTCAAACTATCGTTATAGGCTCTTAACGCCAACAATTAGGCGAAGACGCTATTTTAATGATATCGACGTCACCTTGTAAAATGTGCTTAAGCCAAATTATTCCGAATTTGAAGGTCGGGTTTTCTGCGTTGGACTTGACATGGAAAGAAGAAAAATAAGGTGAAATGAAAAAACTAAAATTTGACAATTTAGCAAATTTCCCTGACATTTAATCCGAATGAAACAGTGATTTTGCGTCTTCAAATAACACAGAATAGTTTAAAAAAAGGGGTTAGCTTGTTTAACTGTTAGCCATTTTGCTCAAACATAAATTTTCCCTGATTTTTTTTTCAAAATTTCCTGACATTGCCCTGATATTTTCGCTTGCATCCAGGTTTCTCAGCTTTGTAAACCCACCCGACTCAATGTAGTCTGGAGTGCGTCTTCTGTCCCGAACCTACCAAGCCAACTGAGCCTGCTGCAAGGCGAGGCATCGTGCCGACCAGAGTCCCAGGCGCGGGCAGGCACACTGGCGTTAGGTCCAAGGCGGTCGTGAGCACGAGCAGGGCCAGGTCGAATTCCACTGGACGCCTCGCCGGGCGTGCCTTCACGTGAATGCGGTCCACCTGACACCACACGAAATGTTTGGGTGAGAATATGATCCTCACTCAAATTTGGGTATTGATCAAGACTTTTTCATTCTTAGTGTTGCCAGTGCACCAATATTTAAATTTAAGGCAAATATGTGGGAATGTGGGTACTGCACCTCCGCGGAGAGTCCGTCTCGGATGTCAATGGAGGTGTAATAGACGACTAAGTCGCTGGTGGGGATCAGTCGCACTGTTGTGTTCGACCCCGCAGCCAAGACGAGGCGATGTGCAGCTGTGGGACAGAGCCGTTTCTCATTCTTTACCTACGATCCTGTCGCAAAAGCATTATAGAATGGTGAAAAGAAACTGTTGAAATTAAGTTTTATCTTGAAGGGGGATCAAGGGGAAATAGCTTGAAATTTCACTTGAAAACTTGTCAAGTTCCACATGAATTTCGGATGAATGTCAATGAATTGCACACAAGGTTCCTTGAATTTTACTAAGATCTTTACTTATTTTTCATAGTTTATAGTACATAAAGTTACTTGAATTTTACTAAGATCTTTACTTATTTTCTTAAAGAGTTTCTATGAATTTTGAAGACATTTGGCTAAAATTGAAGACTAAAATTCGGGCCAAGGCTATTGCTTATTCCCAGACAGCCCCACTACTCACATGTCAGGACCATGTTCCGCTTGACCAGAGCACCTCCTCGCACGCTCCAACCTTCCACCCCGTAGTCCACGTCGACTTTCACGTTCCACTGCATGTGGTCAAACGTCGCCCTGCCCAGGATGTCGAACCCTGCGTCTTCGGTGTTCTCGTCCACGGAAGCGAACTTTCCGCACTGCTCGCAAAAGAGAAAACGCGGAAACCGACGCCTCGTAGTTGACCCATCTCTTTTTCAAGTAAATTATTAAAACTCAAAGCCTTGTAGAAGAAGCCACCCTTGTGGAACGTGACCAGCGGCCGATCAACCAGCATTGGCATGGTGGGTGGTCACTGCAAATTCCTTGGGAAGTTTCCTTTGCACTCCAGTGGCACTCCGATTTGAATGCCAAAATGATGCCTTCTTTTCTTGACCCGGGTAAACCACTAGGAAGGCCTGCCGAAATCAGGGGTCCCCGGAGAGCCAGGCATTTCCCGAGGGTTGTCCGAAGCCAGAAGGCCACATTTTAGTTTTCAGAACGGAGCGCCACAAGAATGGGAAAGGAACTTACTTATGAATTCGCAGTGGGGCTGCTATGCTCACCTGAGAGACGGAAGGGCGCCCCCCCTCGCAAGTCTTCGGTCCTGTGTCGATAAGGCGGTACTCCTCCACTGTAACAGGCACGATGGAATCAAGCTGCTCCGTTTAATATTGCAAAATTTACTTTACTACTTACTGCAGATAAGTTACATAGGGTACTTTCGTAGATCCCTGAACCGGAAGCACACAGACGCCATGTTGGCGGAAGTAGATCCAAACTTGACGTGGGAAAGAGACGTTAGTCAAACGTATCGGCCACACTTGAACATAAACAGTCGTTTGATACTTGCTTGCAGTGCATGTGTGTTTCGCGAGCAATATTTGCACAGCTCGGCTATAGTTTTAGATCCGAAGAGAGGTTAGTTTCCCGGCCAATTTGGCGTCTGCTGGTCTGCTTGCTTCCGGTTCAGGATCTACGAAAGTACCCTATTGAAGGAGCTTTGTTCGGCGGAGGAGGAGGAGGAGGAGGAGGAGGAGGAGGGAGAGGAGGGAGAGGGAGGAGGAGGATGACGACGACGACGGCAGAATATGCGAGAAATATGCGCGGTGGCTATAGAATACCCTAATAGATGGCCTATTCATCATTTAAATTAAATTAATTTACGCTGAACTTACGTGTTTCCACTTTGTGCAACTCTCTTTGAAGCCACGTGCGCACCTCTTCGTCGCGGAGGTCCTTGGCCACCATGAGGTCGGTCCGGCGGACCGCGAGGTGCTCCAAGTACAGTCCCTGAAGAAACCACTGGGAGCCGGTACTCACGACGTAGCCGCCACCACGCGTCATTGGACCTAACGGCGATTTGTAAGTGCGAGTGTCCATATCAGTTTTGTTTACTTGGGTTTTGATACACAACATTGATACATTTTTGGTTGCCACTTGATGACAATTTCAAGGCAGAATAGGATCTTTGATGAAATGCCATCACTTTGTGATGACATCGCATGATTCTGTCATGAATTGAAAGCAGATTTTTACAGAGTTAATAAAAGCCATACCAATGGTGCCCTTCATCGCTTCTGAGCAGAACACCTCCTTCGAGAGCAAGTTCCTTTTGTAGGTGGTCCTCCTGTAGCAATCCGCCGAGCTCACGAAGGGCGCTCCGATCAAGCTGTGGTTCGCTGGCTGCCACTCGCTCCACGACTCGACCTGCTCAAACCTACACTGAGGGCCTCACGAAGCCTGCTATCCACATATTACGTAATCGCCCAATTTGGTAAAATCTCAAACACTAGTAGCCTAACGTTCCATGCTTTAGGAATACACACATTAATATCGTGGGAATTTTCTGTTGTCCCGTGGATGATGCAATTTTAATCACATCCGCGAACGTGACAAAATTCACAATCGAACGAATATGACGTCACATTCGTTGGCTACCAGTGCGATGGTGACACAATTTTTTATCCACCACGAGAGATAGATAAGACAAATTGTCTAATAAAGATACTCTTTGAAGGAAGCGTCGGGCAACATGTGTCACCAGACGGAAAGAAACTTGTGTCCCCAGGCGGAAAGAAATTTGCATCACCGTCGGATGTGCTTCAAATTGCATCAAACGTGGGGGGAAAATGTCCCAAGACATTTAGTGCGTAGGCCGAAATGAATGCGTCGTCCCCCATTCCCTCCTGGGTGATTACGCAATATGTGGACGAAACACAAATCTTGCGAACCGCACACTGTTAGAGGTCCTTGCGAACAGGTTCACTCGTAGAACAAAAGCGTGGCGTCGAAATTGGTTCAATCATTTAGAGTGAAAGGAGTACCATGTCTTTGATTTACTTTTACTTAAGTGCTGATCAAATGTGCACTTCAAGCATTACAATCTACAGGAGTGTGGTTGGACAAGTCCGCATCTATACGAGTGTGCTTGGCCTCACCCATATGAATGTGATGTAGTATGTAAGAGGTGGTACTCTTACATACTACATCAGAATGCACACTCCAGTAGATGCGCGATTGTCCAGCCACACTCCTAGCTGCTGGATGTTCATGATGGATGTGTGCTTCTAAAGACGCTTCCAAGGCTGTGTAAGAAGTACACATTTGATCTTTTGTTGCATTTCCCTAGCCTACCAAGCCCATGAGTGGAAGATGAGGGTAATAATTTGAATTGACAACACCCAGCACTACTCGCTGAACAATAACAATACAGCCATCTTGGCGGAAGCAGTGTGGCGACTCACCAACCCCAGCTGCCCCGGAGAGAGTTGTTGAAGCACTTTGCCGGTCAGGTCCAAGCACACTGGCGTGGAGAAGACTGCGTCCTCGGCGGCCAGCTCCAGGAGCACGACGTTTCGGCTGGAGCTGCCTCGGTCCTTCGAGGTTTGTTGCACGCTCACCCGAACCACCTGCAGCACCACCGTAAAATGAGGACTTGGAGCTGGCGTCCGGGAACTGACGACGCCAGCCTATCTTCGAATACGTGGGGCAAATGACTGGCAAATTTCGGGATAGCTGCATTACGAATAAGTCGGAATACTCAGGTTTCAGGATTACCCTTGGATTGCCACCGGATTACAGCACATAACCCCAGGAATACCTCCAAATTCCTGTCAATACGGACTACAGATTACTGAGATTACTGAGATTACCGACTTGTCGTCAGCCGGATTGCCCGAATCATAATCCCCTTTTCAGAACACCTCCACATGGCAAAAACGGTTCCAGTGTTTCCCATGCAGGCTGTAGCAAAGACATCGGCGATTTCCAGGGAGTTCCTGAGAAAATCAGGAATCGTTTTTGCCGTGAACTCACCGATGCATTTCTTGATGTGCCGTTCGGCTCCGTGAACAAAACGACAATGTTGGCAGAGTCTTCGGCAGGGAAGAGGCTTTTATCGTCCCAACCGGTGGCCGCCTGCAACACCACACTACCTGAGGAGCAAGAGGGAGATTGTGGATGTCTGATCAAGCTCTATAGGTACCAAAGACTTTACTGTCAATTTGGTGTACCCTGAAATTCACTGAGAATGAAAGGATCATAGTCAGGACTAAAATTATGGATGAGGTATTCTTGAGCATCCCAATTTGGGTGAAAATCAAATTATAGACCAAGCTGACAAAGTACACACTTTACTAATGCATATTTGGCAAAGCACGCACAACTATATGCTTGCGCTGGTAACTCCACCCAATGCTCAAGCAATTTGTGACAGTGCAATCGAAAGTGTGTACCGTCAACTGGGATATCGGACACCCGGGGTAATTTCGGACAGGCTCCCCTGTCAGCCTGGATGGAATTCTTTCCACGCCATCCCCATCAGTTTCCTCATGGTTGGAACTAGCTTCTGACGGGGATGGCTGAGTAAGATTTCCATGCGGGCCGATAGGGGAGCCTGTCAAGTACCCCTGGTGTCCGAAGTTACCCCAGTCCACGTTTACGGTACTTGCGAAGTAGTAGCTCTTTTAAGTTTCTCATGGCCAAGCACTGAGAAACCAAACGCTATGAGTATAGCGTCAATTGGTGCAATGCAAAAGCATTGCACATGAAGTGCAATGCCTGCCCAGTCCCATGCATTAGCATGAGGGCATTTTCGGGATGCATTGCACGTAAGGTGCAATATGGCTGAGGCATTGCACGTGTGGTGCGATATCTCAGCTGTATTGCACCATACGTGCTATACTCATAGCGTTTGGAATCTCAGTGAGTACGCATTTAAAAGTGCGTGCTTACAGGGATACATCTGTGAATACTAACGAAGGTACCTCTGGCAAAAATGTTGCCAAGACACCTCTGTGATGATTCTCTGAAATTTGAGAAAGGTTCTCGGTCATTTACGGACATTCTTCGTTAATCTGAGAACTTTCACCGCAGATTCACGGAGATTCTTCTTAAACCCACGAAGGTTCTTCCTACGTAACAAACAATCGAGTTTTCAAAGGAAATTTTAGCAACATTGTGACAGAGGCGTCTTTGTTAATTGTAAATTTATTTATCGCAGTGTACATGATCGGCATTTTCAACTGACTCGTGAGCACGGCCTTGGGATGCACCAGCAGGCCCGCTCCAGCGACGTAGCCCTCCCCGTCGGCCACCGCTACGTTCCAAGGCATGTGGCCCGGGAGCGCTGCGAGCGCCGTGAGCGGCTCGCATAGGTTGATGTTCCCACACTGCAACAAAGACAAACATCAGTGCGCACGGTGTGCAAATCGTTCAAAACGAATCGAAATGAATTTCGGCTGCTTCGATTGGAAAAACGCTCAAAACATGTAAAATTTACTAATTGAGGTCTTGTCTGATGTTCAAAAAAATGAGATCCCTGTAAAATAGAAAGTTTACGTAATTTCAGTTTCAAATTTGGTGAGTGTCTTGTTTGCAAGATTTGGCTAGGCCAGTTTTTATCTCAATGAGATCAGATCACATTTACTGTCTTTTTGAGAGTTGATGGCGAGCTAGCTCAATTTGGACTGCAGATTTGGATCGGACACGGTTTTGACCCCCCGAAGACGTTTTCCCCGTTTCCGAGTCTCATGTAGATCAAAATATATATTTACAGAAGAAAATGATTGTTCTGATATATTTCTTTATGAGTCTAGCCGATGTTATCAGAACTAAAGTCATCAGAAAATTGAGGCATCAGAAACAGAAACATCAGAAATAGGTGTCCGAAAAAACATTAGAACTCAGACATGAGAAATGTTCTGATGCAAAAGTATCAGAAAATTTCTGAGTTGATTTACACCAGTGTTTTGGTCCAAAACCACCGAAAAGGTCATGGGCGTCTTTGGCCGGCGCACGCACTGGTTTTTTTAGTGTAATAATGAACTCATTTAAAGGGCAATAACATTTTAGAGCATTAGTAGCGCCATGCAAAGTTATTGCATTTAAGTGCATTAAATATTGTGTTGCATTAGCGCATTTATCGCTTTATTAGCGTAGTTATCGTTTTATCGGACCAAAACAGTGATAATCTGGGCCAAGACCGGCAAAAGCTATCGTGTCCACGATCAATGTATCGATGTATCGAAACTTGTGAGTTGCCGAGCGCGACGGAACTTCCGGTTCTCGTCAGTTGTGAGCGTTCAGGTATGCTGTACTGTCCTGATTTCTTCAGGAATATACACAAAGCTAATCTGTATTATCTCAATAATTCCTTCACCTAAGAACTCTACAAGAGTGAACAAACGCAAAATACAAATACGTCAGAATGGTGACGAGCATGCCGTTTTGGTGAATTCTTTCGTGAAGAAGTTGTGAAGTGCAAGATTCATCCAGACTTCGTGTGTGACCGGCTTCATCATGGCGCAACAGTTGCTAGCGGTTGTCAATCCTCCATCATCTGACTCCTTCGACCCCAATGGAAAAGAGACAGTGTCCCAGTACGTCTCTAGGTTCGAACGGTTTTGTGCGGCTCACTTTGTATCTGAAGAACCGCGTGGTCCACCAGATGCCGATAACCCCGAAGGACCCATACTTCTCGCGACCAACCAGCGTCGCTATCTTTTCCTGGCTTCGCTTGGTTCACGTGCTTATTCCGTCCGTCGTCCATGCTGCTACCTTGCCACGAGCCTCACCAGTACACCATTCGTCAGATGAACACTCGGAAAATGAAGTATGAAAACCCTTTCATAATTGAGACCAAAGGATGTTCTTCAATCAGAGAACTCAACGAAGTGATGAGAGTGCCCCGAAGAAATCTGGTCCAATACCTCCTTCCAACAATTCCAAGGAACCGGATCAATCCAAGAGCAAGTTTGGTCCCTGTCACCGTTGTACCAGACTACTGATGTCAAGACATGCCCTGCGATCGATTGGGACTGACACAAGTGGGGTATCAAAGGCCATACTTCTGCTGCCCATGACGTCTTCACTAAGAAAAAAACTCCAGTGCATCACCTAGAAATTTCTGTTCCTAACGATGCTGATCCTAAAGGTAGTGTTGATCAATTGATCGATCGACTTCTTGACTTTTTGTTCTTAGTTCTAAATAAGTTTGTCTCCTGCTGCAGTGGTTGACTTCTGCGGCAATAAAGTAAATATAGTCCATGCAGTTAATACACCTCCCATTCAGGTGTTTGGTAGTGCCTTCACCTCCATCCAATCCTCCAGCCATAGTTCAAGTCAAAGTCAACAATGTTGTCATTCCTATGGAAATAGATCCTGGAGCTGGTACTTCAATTATTTCAATTCAAGATTTCTTCAAATATTTCACCAGTGTGAAATTATCTCCAAGTAGTACTGTTCTAAATTCAGTCTCTGCTGATGTCGTTGTCAATGGAGAAATTTCAGCCAAAGTATTATTCAAAAATAAGTCTGCTTTGTTATTTTTGGTTGTAGTGTCACATGTTACTATTAATTACCCCTTGTTTGTTAGAACATGGCTTGATGTCCTAGTTCCAAGGCGTCAACATTTGTCTGATTCCTATAGTATGTAGTCCTGTTGTTACTTCTACTGTTGATTCTGATTCCTGTATAATTGGTTTTGAAGCTAAGTTAGTGCTCAAAGAGGGAGCAACCACCGTCAGGCATAAAGCTTATAATATTGCTTATGGTGTTATTGATAAAGTCAATGTTATTTCAAATCAGTGGGAAAATTCCGGAAAAGCTGTCCATGTGAGACATGCTGACTGGGCTTTCGCTGATATGCCTGTACCAAAAAGAGATGGCTCCCTGAGGTATGTCGTTGATTTTAAGAAGACTTTAAATACCCAGTTACGTATAGATTTTTATCCTTCACCCAAACCATCTGATGTTTTTGCTTCCTTAGCTGATGGTGCTGTGTTCACTCCCCTTGACCTCACCAACGCTTATATGCAGTTAAAATTATCCCCCAGCTCTCAAGAGCTCTGTGTAGTCAATACCCATCGTGGTTTATATAAGTTAACCTTAATTTATGGTGTAAGTAGTGCTACTGCAATCTTCCAAAATACAATGGATGATATTTTAGAAGTATTGAGTGGAGTTACTTGTTATATTGATGATATCCTTATTTATGGTAAATCTCTTGATTCATTTTGATCCAGATCTCCCAACTGTGATTTATACTGATGCCTCTCCTGTAGGCATTGGTTCTGTGCTTTGTCATACAGTTATTGTTAATGGTAAGCCTGTAGACAAACATGTATTCTTCTTGTTCAGCAAAACTATGCCCAGATAGACAGAGAAGGTCCCTCTGCTGTCCATGCTGTCAGTTCCAAATGGCACAAATTTGTTTGGGGACGCCCGTTCAAGTGTATTGTATTTTTTAATCCCCTCCTTTTATTTAGTGCTCGAGGTGGGTATCGTGTCCACGATCGATGTATCGAAACTTGTGTTGCCGAGCACGATGGAACTTCCGGTTCTTGTCAGTTGTGTGTGAGCGTTCAGGCATGCTGTACTGTCCTGTATTATTCAAGAATATTGTTAACATAGTATGTTGGTAACGCTGAGATTTCTGTGTATAATCTAAGTTGGCAAACCTGTTGTTCTGCATACAACGTGAAGACTGCAAATAATCTTATGTATAAATTAATTGACGGCCCATTAAAAGTTCTCATTGCTGCAACGTAACCCTGCCAGTCTATTTGATTTCGTCTCGCTTTTTGCCTCAGATTGAGTGAGCAAGTAGCAAGCCACGTGCAAACGTGTCTGAGATTCTACTGAGGTGTGAACTCTGCGACAGGTTATGGGCCCAGATTAACCTGATCTGTTTAACGTGTGTCTGATGTGCACTGGTAAAACTGGAGCGTAGTTGTATGCTTCATTCGAGCATACAACTACGCTTGAAGACTTTACGCTTGACGTCAAGCGTAGAGAAGAAATCCTCCCATGCATTTAGATAGGCGGGAGAGGGGCGAAATGGAAAACTACGCTTGAAGCCGAGCGTAGTTCTACTACGCTTGAAGAAAGGCGTAAAAGTACGCTTGAGTTCTACCTGTGCATCTCTGTTTCTTATTAGTGAAGGTTTTTAATCCCTGACGGAAGAAATTGTGCTGAGATGGCGGACGATGAGCAGCATGAACAGCAGACCAGTCACAATTTTCTGTGATAACCAGGGAGCAGCAGCTCTCGTCTACAACCCCGTTCACCACAAGAGAACGAAGCACATTGATATCCGATATCACTACGTGAGAGACTTGAATGAGAAAGGTGATATTGTTGTCAAGTATGTTCAATCTTCTGAAAACATTGCAGATGTTTTTACTTAAGCCCCTCTGTGTGACATGTTCGTGTTTTGCTTTAAGGGTATTGGTCTGCAATAATGTGCTCTCTCTGTGACCTAACAAGTTCACTATGTAACTGATGTGATTTTTCTCGACTGACGTAGTAATGCCAAAGTCTTTTGTGGCGTCGTGCACGGCTGTATCTGTGATTCATTTTTTCTCTTGCCTAGCCTTTATATCGCAGCAAGTAATGAAACTTATCACATTAGAAATATCAGTGACCCCGTAGTTTACTCCAGACGACAGACCACGTCAAAAGTGGAGGTTCTCTCTGTATGCGACCCTGCTACTCACCGTGGGCTGTCCTAACTGGTCCTTGGCCGTGTCCAGCCAACGCTGCACGCCCGCGTCTCCCATGTCCGTGAAGACTGCCTGCGAGCCGTTGGAATAGAACCACATCCCGCGCAGGTACCAAGAGTCGTCTACGTTGACCAGAGGCTGCGAGACCGGTGTCGCGGTTCCTTTCCTGCGAACCCACGCGATGTCAGTTCAGTGTCTTCATCCAAGCGTACACTCTAAATGTTCTACAGTGAAGATTCTCCATATTATGGTGAAAATGTTCCATATTATGGTGGTGCAGTTGACTTCGTAACATACCATTCAGAATTCACTGTACCTTATAGATATTTTGACGAATGGAGAAAATCTCCACCATAATATGTTGGTGCAGCCTTTCACCGTAAGACATTTACAGTGTACACCTATGATTAAAGACCTTACGCCCACCTTGAAGAATAAAACTACGCAGTACTCCGCAACCAATAAATTGGGAATTCTCAACGAAGGTGGCTCTGGCTAAAATGTTGCCAAGACTCCACTGCAGGAAATAACCACAACAAAAGTACACAAATTTCTGGCAAATTTTTATCAGGTTTTTATTGTACTTTCAAAGTACAACAATTGTTGTACAAAGTACAATGGAACCGGCATGACGAGTGCTGGGCAGTCCAGGGCTCGTTGTGGTTTGTACAATTCTCGTTGTACTTTCTACAATCCCTGTTGTACTTTTATTGTACAGTTTTTGTTGTGCATTTGTTGTACTATTCACACTTTTTCTTGCAGTGTCTCCGTGAAAATAATTCAAAATTATTCGTAAATTACGAAAAATCTTTGCGGAGAGTCTTTTAGGCAACATTTTAGTCAGATTATTCGTGAATTACGAAGAATCTTCCTAAACTTACGATGTAGGGGTAGGTTGGGGAAGAAAAGTACAACCCTTGTGGAACTGATCTCTTGACTTGCTTTCTCGTTCTCAGTGTATCCATCCCTCGACCAGTGATTTCAAATTAACATGAAAATCTGAGTGTAAAAACACTGTTAAATCGACGTCATTTAATTTTTGGGAGATGCCTTCGCAAATTCCGGAGATTGATTATTACATTAGGAGCGCGTCAGTTTATTCTATGGAGCCATTTTACTCCATGATTGGAGTGGCCTCTCCCTTGTTCTTTTTTAGCTCTTGCTTGCTAAGCACGGCTGCTGCCTACCTTGATGGGTGGCGCAAAAATAACGGCTCGGAAGTCCCCACGAAGTCTCGCACTTATTTGTGGTGTTGAGAGCTAGGAAGCGCTTCCACGTGCGGGTGTTGTTAGCCGGCGTCTCGAAGAAGGCCTGCAAATGTTGCATGGTAATGGTTTGTGTGTGCCGCCTAAACCTAACAGTGCGGATTCAGCGAGGAATATATGGAACAGTATTGATAAACTTTGGCTGTTCCGCCTACAATCTACAGGAAAGTGGATAACCCATTGTAAAGACATACACGATTTATAAGTAGTTCCTGGAAAAACCATGCAGGTTTTCAGGAACCGTTGTACACTGAAAATAAAGTGACACATCTCACCCTGTGAGAGGTGAGACAAAACTTGTCTCACCGAAAAAGGGTGATACAGTTCTAAAATGTATCACCGAAGAAAAGGTGGCACACGAATGTATCACCGAAAAAGGGTGATACTTCCCCAGGAAAACAAGGGCCTATCTCCCTGATGACTGACCTTTTTTTCGGTGATAGAATCGTGTAAAACCTTTTTTTCGGCAAAACTTTCGTGTACGACTCTTTTCAGTGCATTCATGTATGACCTTTTTTGCCGGAGATACTTTTAGAATCGCCGAAAATTGGTGAGATGTCTCACCCTTTGTATTTCAGTGTTTTCAACACGCACTGCATCAACTTACCACACCTTCAGGCCTGGTCTTCAGTTGCGCGCCGCCCGTCCAGTCCACACACACCGGCATCAAGTGCATCGGCTGCTTGAGCTCCATGAGGGCGAAGGTGTACAAGACGCCGGCCTTGGTGTAGAGGTCGGTCGGGTGCAGCAGCCGCACCACCTCGCTCACGTTCCCCAAGGTCTCGTCCAGCCACAGCGACGACGCCGCGTTGCGCTGGGACGCCACTCGCAGCAGCGAGGCTGGGATCTCCGACACGAACACCAGGCGCTCGTCGGCGACTGACGAGTAGCCTTGCCAAGCTGCCGCGAAAAGAATAGGTTTTTATTTGTGTCACTAAGGGTGTCACGAAAGGTCACACCAAAATTTGAACTTTGACGATTAAAGGTGATTTCAACACTGCAAAGCCAATGGTAAGTTTGCTTGCCACAAATTTGGCAAGCCATTTTGAATGCCAAAATTTGGCAAGCTTTGGTCGGAAATCTTCATAAACTTGCCATAATGGCTGGCCATATTGGCCTGCCATAAGCTTGCCATAAGCTTGCCAAATTTTGGCAAGCTGGGTGGTATAACCAGGCCAAGCTTGCCAATTTTTGGCATTGAAAACGGCTTGCCAAATTTGTGGCAATTACCACCGGCTTTGCAGTGAATGAGTACCTTCTCGGTCTCGGTGCGTTACTGTGCGTTCCTACTTTATATCGTTGGATCTAAGGGTACACTTCAACTTGTTTACAACAGGGTATTTTTAAGCCTCCGAGTCGACCTCAGATTACCACTTTCTGGATGTGTGAAACCAAAAAAAACACTTGATAACACGATAGGTATCACCGCACCCAGTTCAATGTCGCTGAAAATTAAATGGAATGACTGCTCATCAAGGCGAGACAGTCTTGCCAAGTTTTAGCCACCAAAATTTTTTGTTCAAACTTCTTGCCACTCAAAATGGTGATAATTTTTTGTCTCACTACGATGTGGCCGGAATTTTGCTGCATGTTGGTCTTTTCTACGGTTTGACCATGAACTGGGCTGAACTGACACTAGTTCACTAACCCGTAATGACAAGGTTGGGCTTGACCAGGACGCCGGACCACAGCCTCTCAAAGGCGCGGGTTGAGGTACGCTTGAAGTAGACGTCCACCTCCCAAGGGAAGTCCTGCCGGTCGGCGGTGGCGCCGTCCACTACACTGGACAGGGCCACGTCCACGCCACAGCGCCGCCCGCTCAGCTGCAAAAAGAACGAACGGGAATATATACGTCGTATATACGTGTTTGCTTGCGACGCGGCTGTCTGGCTCATGTGCATGGGCAGCAGTGCAGTGATGCACTTTTAAAAGCTTCACTCTCAGCACGTTACTGACTTTTTCCTCATGAATTACTACATATTCGTATGAACAGCAATAATACTTAGTATTTATTTTCTTAGTAAGTATGACTTATTTCCTTTGTAAAATTGAAACAAAATTCTTAGTACATTACTTAATATTTCCTAAGTACACTCAGAAAAGCTTGCAAAGAAAAGCACTTTGCAGTACAAAGTATTCTCCGGCATTGTATTACAAACTCCCTTGCGAAATTTTTTCTTCCCATTTCAAAGAAATAGTTCGTAAGTTGCGAAGAAAAAAGTTTGCAACGTTGCGAAGCATTAGTTTGTAACGTTGCAAAGCATTTTCTTCGCAAGTTGCAAAGAAATACTTCGCAATGCAAAGAAAATAGTTTGTAAGAGAGTTCGCAATACAATGCCGGAGAATACTTTGCAAGGTTTTTTTTAGTGTTAGTAAGTGTGTACTTAGTAGACAGTTAGGTTGGTAGTTTGTGGTATAACGATTCATTATTTCTCGGTGCAAAAGAACAAGGCTAAGCTTGCTCACCTCTCCTTTCCTGATGATACCCGAAATCCACGGCACGAAGGTGGTCACGTTGGTGAAGTACGAGTAGGTGGTGCCCTTGGAGCTTCCCACGGACACGACTCCGCGCAGGAACCACGTGCGGTCTGCGTTGGGGAAGGCCAAGCCTCCGCCGCTGTCGCCATGTGCGACCGAAGTGTCTGGATGCAGAAGACCATCGCTACCACGTTACATTGCCCACAGTTCCTTCACTGTCATAAATAAATTGGGGATGTGCGAAGGTACAAGTGGAACAAATGTTGCCAAAGAAACTTTCGTAAATTTGGGTTGATTCATCGTGAATAAGGAGGATCGTCATAAACTCGCAGAGAACCTTCGTGAATTTGCGATGATTGTTGGTAGATTTACGACGAAACTTCGTATATCACCAAGAATCCTTGTCAGCGCTCGAAAAACCTTGCAAAGTATTCTCCGGCATTGTAATGCAAACTCTCTTACAAACTATTTTCTTTGCATTGCGAAGTATTTCTTTGCAACTTGCGAAGAAAATGCTTTGCAACGTTACAAACTAATGCTTCGCAACGTTGCAAACTTTTTTCTTCGCAACTTACGAACTATTTCTTTGCAATGCGAAGAAAAAAGTTCGCAAACACTGCAAGAAAAAGTGTGGATGGTACAACAAAAGCACAACAAAAACTGTACAATAAAAGTACAACAGGGATTGTAGAAAGTACAACGCGAATTGTACAAACCACAATGAGCCCCTGGACTGCACAGCACTCGTCATGCCGGTTCGATTGTACTTTGTACAACAATTGTTGTACTTGAAAAGTGCACTAAATTTCCTATTAAAAAAAATTTGCCAGAAATTTGTGTACTTTTGTTGTGGTTATTTCCTGCAGTGAGGGAGTTTGTAATACAATGCCGGAGAATGCTTTGTACTGCAAAGTACTTTTCTTTACAAGCTTTTCTGAGTGAGGTTACATGGGTTCTACTGGAAATATTTTTAAGGGGTACTTTCACCAAATCCGAAGATTTATTTGAACAGAGGCGCCGCTGCTGTTAATGAAATGCATTGTTAGGCCTTCGGGTAGAATGGGATGGTTTTGAAATACAACTCACTGCAAGAAAAAGTGTAGGTAGTACAACAAAAGTACAACAGAAACTGTACAATAAAAGTACAACAGGGATTGTAGAAAGTACAACGAGAATTGTACAAACCACAACGAGCCCTCGACTGCACAGCACTCCTCATGCCGGTTCCATTGTACTTTGTACAACAATTGTTATACTTCAAAAGTACACTAAATTCCTGATAAAAAATTTGCCAGAAATTTTCCCTGCAGTGCTGCACCGTGTTTGTGTTTTTGTTTTGTAATAGAAATGAAAGCTTGCTCTAAATAGACCTGTAATCCATCGTGATAGTAATACTAACGAAAGTTTGTGTGCAACAACGGGTCACCATCACCACGCTACGCTACGCACTATTGACGAATCCCACGCAGAACTTGTCGGGCAGCAAGGTGAAGATGGCGAGCTTGTCGTCGACGAGCTTCTTGCACACGTCCCCTCGCACGAACGGCAGCTTGGCGAAGCGCAGGGCCTCGCTCGCTTCCAGGGCAGTGTTGCCAAACCCAACGACCTGCCAACCCAGTCACTTACACTGAAAAACGCCTTGAACTGAGAACGAGCTCGCAGCATGAGACTGAAGTATTTGCATGGTGTTCCTGACGTTGCTCAAAATGCAAATATCAGTCACACACTGCAAGAAAAAACCACAACAAAAGTACACAAATTACTGGCAATTTTTTTTATTAGGAATTTATTATACTTTTAAAGTACAACAATTGTTGAACAAAGTGCAATTGAACCGGCATGACGAGTGCTGGGCAGTCCAGGCCTCGTTGTGGTTTGTACAATTCTCGTTGTACTTCATACAATCCGTGTTGTACTTTTATTGTACAGTTTTTGTTGTACTTTTGTTGTACTATTCACACTTTTTCTTGCAGTGCAGTTTCGGCTCAAAATTTCCAGGGGAAAATTGTCGAGTTTCGTACAGACTGCATTTTTACACTAAAAATAGAGCTGGGGAATATACGATGCCACTAAAGAAAACAATGTTGCGGGGGGGGGGGGCTTTCGAAACGAAGACTTTAAGTAAGTAATACAGAGATATTCTTCGTAAATTCACGAGCATTCTTGTTAAAGTCACCATCAACTGAAGGTCTTTCGGCATTTTTTTTCATGAGGTACCTTTGAAAATTCCCAGTTTAACAGAGGTGTATCTGCATTGGGCCATCGCCCGCCTGAAAGGCAGGGAAAGAGTCGCACTTTGCTCCCGAAAGTCCGCAACTCATTCAACACCCCCTGAACACTGAAAAACCAAACGTGGTCTAGACCGCACCAACTGGTGTGGTCAAATGGATGCCATTTTGACCGTACCAAACGTGGCCAAACGTGGTCCAGACCACACCAACTTATGTGGTCAAAATGGCACCCATCTGACCACACCAATGGTGCGGTCTGGACCACGTTTGGGTTTTCAGTGAACTTGTCTCTGGATCCGCCCTTGGTGAGTACCGTGCCCTCCTCGCCGTCACGCAGGTCCGGCTGGTCCAGAGCCCAGTCCACGCAGACAGGCAGCGTCCACGCCGTCACCGCCACCTCGTTCTCCAGCTCCGCCAGCGCGATGTCGTTCACGTAGTGCAGCTTTTTGGCCCCGTAGTCTCTTCAATGGGAAAGCCGCCTAGTCGACTGGAGGCTAGCGAGCACTAATCTCTTGGTTCGAAATCCACGCAAATTTCGATATGGGAAAGGGCTGACTTGCTGAAGCTACTGACAGCCCTTATTCATAATCAGAACTTACTCTAATTCGTAAATGAAAATACTTGCAAGCTACGTGGAACTTTTCAAATAGGCTCAGCCAAATCTCTTCGTCTTTACGAAATTCTGAACCAGCCATACGGTCGGACACATGCTCTGAAGCCTTCAGTAGGAAGGCAGTTCCTTGCTGAAAACCCAGTAATCCATAAATCTTGCGGATTACTGACGTTGTAGAACAAAAGTGCTGGCTAACACGTATCTTCTGAACCTAAACTAGACTTGTACACAAATCCTTGGTACATAACGAAAACGTAGTTCTTGTAATAAATACTAGATAGGTTGTGCACCATACTCAAAAAGCACTTCATAAGGTTAAGCGCGAGTTGTGAGTGCACTGCAAGGGGGCGTCTGATTCGCTGTTACCTGAAATGAAGAATTTGGTTGTGACCAAGGAGCCGCCGCAGATCTGCTTCAGGTCGAGCGTCAAGTCGTACACCGTCACGTGCCACGGGTAGTCCGCGGCCGAAGTCACCACTTCTCCGTCGCGAACCAGCGCCGACGGTCTGCCCGTGGGGCGGCCACATACTAGACATTGAACAAATTGTCTTGTTTCATTAAGATCGACAGTGTTACGTCGTGGAAAGTTTCCCCATCTCGTTGTAAATTTTGAGCTTAAATTTTTTTGGCCTTAAGGCTTAAAAGGGAAATTCGTTTCACCCAAGTGTTCTCAAACCGCTAGAGGGTTTTAAGAAGAAAGACCTGAGAGGTCAGAAACTTTAAGACAAGAAAATTTTATGTTCAAGATTGGGTTGAACCTGGTTCAACTAAGGGTCTTCGATGAAGCTACTGCCACCCTACACGGTAAGAACGGTACCTGGTTTTCCTAAGAAGCCTATGGTCGACATAAGTGATTTCCAGGGAGTTCCTGGGAAAACTAGGAACCGTTTTTGCCCTGTAGGCAGCATACTAAAGGGCCACCAAACGTTGTGATTTCTATTTTCCTGACTTGGCTTGTCTCTGAAACTTCCTATGAACGATTCCAAAAGCTGGACAAATCGAGGCAAAGCGGTGTGCAAGGGAAGCCAAAACATCGTAACATGCAAAGTAAGGCATCAGAGGGTCATCGATTGAAACGGACCACAGCAGAAATGCTCCCCGCGAAAATCTAAGGTTTCAAATTAAATTTGTTTATATTTTAATTTTTTTGTTCATCATCCGCGATAGGGCTTTAGACCGTTGCATTTTGGCACCCTGTTTCAAAAGATTTGCTCCAAGATCTGTCGAGATTGACAAGCCGTTTTGAATATTCAAAACGGCTTCCCGACTTTAAGCATTCAGAATGGCTTGCCAATTATGAGGCAAGCAAAATTGTCCCTGGATCAGCAGTGTTCAAATCAGGTTGTACAACACGGTGGCCCCTTTTCTGCACGTACTGGGCACGCAACGGAAGGGTCGGACGCTCCACTCTCCGTTCGAGCCACAGCTGGACTCAAAGCCGGCGGGGGGCGGAAAGCCGAACAAGGGCTGGTGCAAGGCCCTGCACTGGAACTTGGCCAGGGTGCCGGGTGGGGACGACAGCGCCGTGCAGTTGAAGGGCTCGGACCCCTGAAGGCACTGCACCTGCACAGTGTCGGAGTGCAGGGGCGGGCACATTGCTGCAAAGGAGACAAACCCCACTGTAAAGCAGACACGCACGACACGGCCAATGAGATATTTGGCGATACACCCTGACCTACAATGAAATTTGGACTACGTTCCAGTGAATTCGGACAGGGGCGTAGGAACGTTTTTCGGCCAAGGGGGGGGGGCACTCTTTCTGGCGCCCCCTTTGTCCGAATTGCGCCCCCTCCCGGGAGGGGGGGGGGGACAACTCTTAACATGTGATTTCTCAGTGACGTTTTTTTTACTTTTAATTGAAACTTGTAAAAGCAGTTTGTCACAAATTAACCCTTTAATCTGCGACGCGTCGCCGCACATGGGACGAAACGCGAAAAAAGTGGTCAGAAGTGGTATTTCTATAACTGAGTGGTGGGACCTTCAAACTTTTGGATGTTGGAGAGGAAGTAAGGTCTAGGCTACCCAGAACACTTATTGGATTTACAATTTGACACGCGGGTGAGCCCCTACGGAGCTCTTAACTCCTAACATTTCCAGATTTTCGTGCATCCATTCCAACAGGTGAATGTAATACCTTCTGGCGGTCACATCCTTCAAGATAAAAATAACATTTTATATGTTTTTGGAAAGCTGCTGACCTGACAAATCGAGTACTTGCCTTTGATTTTCTATTTTGTCTTCGGGTTAAATGTTAAACGCTGCTGAAAGTATTGCACAATTAACGATTTTTTAACTGTTGGGGAGCGATAAGTTGAGGTGCGAACATTTTCCAACCATTCCGCCTTGTGTCGGTGGTAGTGTAGCCGCCCCCCTTTCCAGCTCATATCGCCAATCGCCACACAGAAAAACGGTGTCAAAAGTGGCTCTCAAAGTAGCTTTGATGAAGCATTATTTCGACGTGGGCGAGCCGGGGCGAGCCCCTAGGCCAAAAGTAAACTGACGAATGCTGTCTCGACATGCGGACACTTCGGTTTGAATGCCGATGGTTGGCAAAGAAGGTTGCGGAAGGCTTGCTGGTGCCGCAGGGCATGGTTGGTGAGAACATCAGGCCTGGGTCGTTGGTACTGGCCTAACATCCCAAAGTAATTTTTTCGAGATTTTGACAAAATGAGTGTTTAACCTACGAATAACCCCGATTAGAGATTTTGGCGATGATTTGGAGGCTCGCTTATTTATGACCACTTTTTTCGCATTTTGTCCCACTGAGCGCCATCGTCGCTACTCGCTCCACGCACGCTAGCCATCGAACCGAGCGTTCAGTCACCTGGTGTCTCGCCCAGTCGCCGTCGCCCTGGCCCTCCCCTTGGGCCTTCTCTGTTGAAGCGCACAATGTAAAGCGATTTCTAGCCTAGAGCCCTTAGGCCGTTGTGCTGGGCGCTGGGCGCCCTCCCAAACCCGCTTTGACGGGCGCTGACTCTTCGGGCGCCTTCTCATGAGGCACTCTTGTTGCGCCCCTGCGGGGCGCCGTTGACGTTGACACCCCCGCTGGAGCGCAGTTTTGGCGCCCCTGCGGGGCGCCCAGGGAGGGGCATTGCCCCCCCTGCCCTCTCCCGTTCCTACGCCCCTGAATTCGGAGCAATCATAATGCGGCATAACATTCCTTTACAACACTCTCCATCCAGGAACGTGACATCACGTTCAATTCCAACGAATGTGACAAAATGTCACGTTCGTTTGAGCATTGCATCACATTCGTTTGAACGTGATGTCACGTATTTGGAATGAGAGTGAATCCACTGCAGAGCTAGTGGTAAGTTTGCTTGCCACAAATTGGGCAAGCCGTTTTGAATGCCAAAATTTGGCAAGCTTTGGTCGGCAATCTTCATAAGCTTGCCAAATTTTGGCAAGCTCGGTAGTATTTCCGTTAGTAAACGTTTCGAAGTTAAACATGTTGTTTTAAAGGTGCCGGTCTCCAGAAATTACCAGACCTCCAGGTTGCCGAATTAGGCCATGATTCTGCCCTTCATCCGGAAAGTCACCGCGTAGGTAAGAACAGGCTGTTGTCCATGAGCGCGAGCAGGTGATCCGACGTAGCCGTCGTGGCCTTGCGCGGCTGAGGCTCCACGGTCTGTGAATCTTGCGGCGACCGGTTTCTCATGGCGTCTGTGACGTCATACTTCCACAGAGACCGCGGCTGATCCACCTATGTAGCAATAGTTCGAGTAGCCTTGTCGCGGGCACCGCACTGGTTATTCCGAACTAAATGGTATGTAGCCGAGTTTGACGAAAAAATGAATTAGGTGGCGTTCGAGGGACGGGGGAAAGTGAAGAAAATCGATTTTCGATTTCTGCTTTATTTCGACTTCGTGGGCCTCGGTACAACCAAGCCTGACTATATTTCGACCCACAGCACCATCAAATCCAATCGGCATAGGGATCTTTTAATTCCTACAATTACTGTAAGGTTAGGCCCATAAATTTTAACCCCGGTTTTCTTAGTTATTTTTTATGCGCAGGATATTTCGAAGACCGTAAGAGGTACAATTTTGAGTGACAGCTGAAAATTATCGGTGTTTTTATATCCAGAAGACTAGGGAGACTTTTTTAGTTACAGGTCAAAAGAGGTATAAAAACAGTCATGAATCTAGTTATCAAGATTAAAACCGAAAGAAAAGTTACTTTTGGAATCCGGCTCCCTAGCCAACTTCATTTTCATCATTAAAAAATGTGCTAACTTAGGCAGATTTTTGGGACACTACTTGGATTTGGAATCCTGCGCGCAAGGATTGTCCTAAATGTCGACCGAATCTAAATAGCGTAAATTCATTCAAAGTGCCACCAGACACGCAACTTAAGATGGTAAGGGGGTAAAAGGTATGAAGAATCCAACGGTGATGTCCATTTTAATGTCAGGGTGACCATCATGTAAGAATAGAAGGCTGAAAAAACATTTAAAAAATAACGAGTTTCCCCCCCCCCCCTCGTTTCAGAGAATAGCCTTCCTTAACTTGAGCCTTTTATAGTGACGGGATGTCCAATGACTCGTGAAAATGGGATGAAGTCAAAATACGGTCCTGAGATCAGCAACAAGTACTGGTGCAATTTAAAGGGTTTCTTCAAGGTACGAAGAAAACCCACCTTCACTCTAAAATGTCTTGCAATGAAATTTGACCTATGTTGTTCGTATGTTACAGTGAATTCGGCGCGAGCATAATAAGAAGTAATGTTCCTTCGTAAACGAATCATTTTAACTTCATCATTATAAGACACAAAGAAAAGCCTTCGTAATACGAAGAAAAAGCCACCTTCGTGTTATGCACGGTAAAAACGGTACCTGGTTTTCCCAGGAGCCCTATGGAGAAGACATAGGCGATTTCCAGGGGGTTCCTGGGAAAACCAGGAACCGTTTTTGCCGTGTGCTTGCGCCATTCCCTTCATATGATGGGAAATTTCTTCGTAAGACATTTGGAGTTGCACAAGAATTTAAGAGGAACATTCTTCCTGAATTCATCTCAAGTTCTGTCCCACCCTGGTCCGCCTCTTCTCCATCCTCGCTGCCAAGCCGACGGTTGTCCTTCGTCACTATCTGACGTCACTGTTACCTGCCGGGGAAGAAGGACGGACGACGCAGCAAAGCACGTAAATAAAGACGAGGACACAGATGGCGGCGCACGCCATGGCTGCGAAACGCGAACTGGGCGGACCAACTCGCCGCGGCGATGCCGGGCGCTACACTGGTAGCGCCGGCCAAAGGCGCTGGCTTCAAACTGGATTCTCATCCTTCCGCGAGTCCAGGACCGCGGCGGGGAAGGGGAACGGGGCTGAAGGTGCCAGCCGGTACCCAGTTACACTGTTACTCAGCGAATGTAGCACCGTATTCGTTTGCATAGGACGTCGCATCCGTTCCCTACGGCACTCTTAAGGTGATACAAAACATTTTCCGAAAAAGAAGCTCCAGACAAAAAAAACCACTTGGTCGGCGACATCCTAGGAGCGGGCGCTTGTGGTGTTTTATCGATTCCTTCATGTATACGAACTGCCGAAAAGACACTTGGACGAAATCCGAAAACCCCCTGTGGCTTTGGGGACGGGTCTAAAAAACCCCAAAAAAAGCTGTTTTCGAGGGTTTGGGACTAGATGGGTTCTCGCAAACCGAGATCCAAAAAAGTACCCAAATGGGTCTCAGATACTCAAAAAAATGCGCTCTTTCGAATGCCGTGTCGAACGAGGCTCTACGACGTCGGGTTTGGATGCTACGGGCTCTCAAAGTTGCTCAATTTCACTATTTTTACTGAAGATTTGAGCATATCAGGGCCGTTTGAAGTAGACCATCGGCGATTCGCTCCTCTTGGTCTTAAATGGTGCCTACTCATAGGTAAACACCCCCACAAAACTTCAGCCATGTCAGGCAATTATTAGAGGAACTGTGATCAATTTAAGTTTTGGGTCATTTTACCATTGGGCTTAGGTGTTTTTTGGGTCCAGAAAAAATATTTTTTTAGCTATCTACTTTGATCAGCAACCTTAAACCCCTTTAAATGGTGCCTCAAAACTTTTTTCGAGGAAAACTTGTCTTTTGTTTGTCCTCGAAAAAAAGTTTTGAGGCACCATGTTAAAAGGCGTTTCAAGAGGTGCTGATCAAAAGAAAATAGCTAAAAAAATTATTTTTTCTGGACCCAAAAACACCTAAGCCAATGGTAAAATGACCCAAAACTTAAATTGATCACAGTTCCTCTAATAATTGCCTGACATGGCTGAAATTTTGTGGGGGTGTTTACCTATGGGTAGGCACCATTTAAGACAAAGAGGAGCGAAATCGCCGATGGTCTACTTCAAACGGCCCTGATATGCTCAAATCTTCAGTAAAAATAGTGAAATTGAGCAACTTTGAGAGCCCGTAGCATCCAAACCCGACGTCGTAGAGCCTCGTTCGACACGGCATTCGAAAGAGCGCATTTTTTTGAGTATCTGAGACCCATTTGGGTACTTTTTTGGATCTCGGTTTGCGAGAACCCATCTAGTCCCAAACCCTCGAAAACAGCTGTTTTTGGGGTGTTTAGACCCGTACCAAAGCCACAGGGGGTGTCGGATTTCGTCCAAGTGTCTTTTCGGCAGTTCGTATACATAGAAGGAACCGATAAAACACCACAAGCGCCCGCTCCTAGGATGTCGCCGACCAAGTGGTTTTTTTTGTCTGGAGCTTCTCAAAAACGAAGGAAATGGCGCAATAGCATACCACGAAGGCACTTTCTCTTCTCGTTACGAAAGTAATTTATCTCCCTGTTACGAAGGTTCTTCTTTGACTCATCCAATGAAAATTCCTAAAGGATTCCCATTGTGAAGAATATGCTTGCGCCGTATACACTCTATCATAGCTCAAATTTCATTGCAAAGACATGTCGAGTGTAATGAATATGAAGTCACATTCGTTAAATGGACCCTTACCATACCACGAAGGTACATTTTCGTTGTGTTACGAAGGTGTTTCTTTGCATCTGCATGAAATTTCTGAAAAGATTCGTGATATGAAAAATATGCATGCGCCGAAAACACTGCGTACCTAGCACAAATTTATTGAACTCAGACATTCCGACTGTAATGAATATGATGTGACAATCGTCAGTAAGATCCTTACATTTGTTGCCGAAAGAAGAAAAAAGTAATGAATATGCCGGGAACCACTAGAAACGTCTACTGGTTCCTGGCTTCTTCCTTTCTTTTGATCACTCGACGACGACTAAGAGGGTCTATTCAGTGAACACAGTCAAAGAAAGGTTCAAATAACGATGAAAGATCGCGATAAAAGTTAAAACTTTCACTCTTAAGATCTTGAAAAGAAAAGTTCTTTGCAGTACGAAGTATTCTCCGGCGTTGTATTACAAACTCTCATAAACTTTTTCCTTCGTATTTCAAAGAAATAGTTCGTAAGTTGCAAAGAAAAACGTTTTCAACGTTACGAAGCATTGGTTTGTAACGATGCAAAGCATTGTCTTTGCAAGTTGCACAGCAATACTTCGCAATGCAGAGAAAATAGTTTGAAAGAGAGTTTGCCATACAATGTCGTAGAATACTTTGCAAGGTTTATTGAGTGAATTCCTTCCGTCGAAGTAGCCTCTTTTGATCTGTAGTAGTGCTCACCGCACTCCCTTGATACGGAGGCTTCTGTTCTCAAGTGTTTCTTAAGACGAGGAATCGAAGTGAATCCCGCCACAATAAGCTACGTGACACCCTTAATTCTGGACCGGAAGTACCTAGATTTCAAGTAAGCTAGAGCTCTTGATACGAAAATCTGACGCAACCGGACCGGAACCCAAGCTGCAGAAACATCTGAATCCTGTGTGAGAAATCAGGTGTGCAGACACTTCACTGAGTAATAGCCGTTCTTCGAACGCAAGTCGACGCGTCCTGATAAAATAATCCTAACTGCCAGGGAAAATCCAAGACAATCCTAACTGTTCATGTCAATTCAGAACTATCCTACTGCACATCATGTGAAAAGCGGTGTTTTCTCAGAGTCCGTGACGCCAACATATTTCTTAAAATTACTCGCCGAAGGGCTTGTTACGAAGTTTCATCCTTATCTAAATTCGTAGGCATTGTATTTCAGGTATATTGAGCTCTGATTTGCAGTGAAGGTTACTTTTAGGTACCTTTTCGGTACCTCTGCAGTTTGGATAGTTCTAAATCTGCACTGACAGTTAGGATTGTCTTGGATCAGCTCTGGCAGTTAGGATTGTCTTGGACCTGCTCTGACAGTTAGGATTATTCTAGTAAGACGCGTCGAAGTGTGTGCATAGCACTGTTACACTGCGGCAAAAAGCCGAGAAAAATTTGGTTAACAGCTTGTGGTAATTCTTCGTAGCCCACTTGCCAATATTCTTCGCAGGACCTCACAGTCTGTACAGTGTTCCAAGACCTACGGAGAAGACTGTACGGTCCTACGGTGACTACTGCAAGATCCTACGGAGAATATTGTTAACAGGACCACGGTGAATCTTGCCGAAAATATTAACAGGACTTTCCGTGCCCTTTTGTCAGTGTTTTGACTAGGATGAGTGCGTGCATGCACACAGTCTAAGGCCACGTCCCTCACTGATTCCTTGTTTTCCGATGCCAACAGGACCCCCTTGCATTGGCGGAGTTTGAGCCATCCCAGCCCCCTCCCGGCCGTCTCGTTGTCTTCATAGCATCTTCTCCAGCCCAACATTATGGACGGACGCCGATCAACCACTCGGGCTGCAGCTGCTGCGGCGGAGAAACGGTAAGTTTGACTCAAGTTTGACTTGAATCCACCTCAAACAGTGGTTAAACTTAAGTGTAACCCTATGCTTGAGTCGAGCGTGAAGTTACGCTTGAAGACGTTTCGCTTGAAATGAAGCATATTCTGTACTGTAGAAATTCCCCCATTCATTTAGATATGGGAAATCTTGACCGATGAGCCTGTTTTCCCTTTTCTCATCGTAACGTTAGGTTGAGTTGTTCTTTTTTTTCACTCGATTTTAACCTAAATCAACTGCGCACTACGTGTAATTTTACAATTTTGTCCGTGCTCAGACATAACCCTACTCATGCGAAATCGTTGGGCAGTCGCACGAATTCCTGCGAAATTGCGTACAAATTTGTACGTAAAGCTTGCATGCCCTCACTGACAAAAATTTTGTCGTGACTTAGCGACACATTTATTGCTAATTTTTTTAGCGACAAGATTTGTTGTGGAACGAGTAGCTTGTTAAACCAAACTCGTACTGGAACTAAAGGATAATTTCACAACGACTATTTTGTAATAACACATTAGCAGTCTACTTTCAAATACAAGTCGTTGACCAACGACAAATGTTGTTGGTCAATGACAAGTCTTGTAAGTCGAAAAAGATTTTGTAATGTCTGGGACAAGTATTCATGGAGTACTTTTGTCACTAAATTTATTTGCCTAATTCTTTTTTTAATAATAGTTGTGTTGCTATGACTAAAGAAGACCAATAGATAATAATTCAAAATATGCTTTAATTGAGCAGATAATTGCAAAAGATTTTGTTTCCATACAAATTCTATCGTTAAGGGTGAAAACAAGAATTTTGTTCTTCAACGACAAATTGTCGCTTACAAGATTTAACAACATTTCTTTCGCTTTGGTTCATGATAAAATTCTTTGTTTTGGAACGACTAAATTTTCACTCATCTGATTGTTTCTATACAACCATTTTTTAACAGTGCTGTATTGTGTGAGGCCGCTTTCAAATCTTGCCGAAAGTAATTTTCAGTGCTTTTTCGTTTGAATTGTGTCTTCGCACTCAAAGTTTTTTGGCAGAATTCTGTACGTAACTTCCGTAAATTTATCCAAATTTGAGCACAATTTTATGTAAAAAGGTATTTATCTCCACGCTCAAAATTGTACATAAACATATAACGTGCACATTAAGGTCCTGCCCCCCTACCGGTCCCCAGCGACGGCTCTTTCGTGTATTGACAGAGTCTTTTTCGCGAATACTGTAGTGTAGCCTTTTCCCGAGAGGTGGCACCACAGTCAGATACTTTCAAAAAATTTAAAGGTCCTACTTCTGCCCCTGAAAACGTTCGGTGCTTTCATAGAAATGTATTGTCTGCCCTGCCCAGGTCCCGTGCGGCCGAGTTCTTTGACTGTGACGGCGCGAGGAGGAAGCGTCCTATGACACGCAGGCAGGCCGAAGTTTTCAGCCAGTGCGACCAGACTGTTCAGGTATGTTCTTGCTTTACCAGATTATGTCAATCAGCTACATTGGGCCCTCGATCGCAGCCAACTATTCAGCTCCAAAAAAAATTACACGATTTTATTCTGAGGCTCGATTGCCAACACGTCCACAGTTTCTGGGAGAGTTGAATCGCAACGGGTGCCAATAGGACCGTGAAACAGAACTCTAGAGGCTTGGTTAGACCGACATTTTCATTTTGAAGCTTAGTTTTTCAAGAATAACAGGTGTTCAGAAATTCTGTAACCAAGTTACACAGAAAAAGTTTGCATCCATTCCGATACTGATTTCTGAAACAGGCATTATTGAAAATGCTTGGCTTATCATGTTACAAAATTCGGTACTGTTTTCCTGAGTAAGTGACGTACCAAAGCAGTTGCAAATGTTCTTCGTAAGGTTTTAAGGGTGTGCAATCGATTGCAGGACTACGAGCACAACGTGGTGGACGTCCTGCCCGACGAGGCCCTGCTTCTGGTGTTCGCGCGGATGGCGTCCGTGGACCTGCTGCCACTGCGCCTGGTGTGCCGGCGCTGGGACGAGTTGATCCTGACCCCGGCAGTGTGGAGTCGCCGCCGGCTCTGCTTTCCGTCGATGGCGCTGGAGGACATCGGCTCGAGCAACGCTTTCCAGGCCGCCTTCGTCCTGTACTGCGCTCCAGCCATGGACACGGTCGACCTGGAACTCGACTGCTCGCACAAGCACCGACCCATCACGCCGGCCCTGCTGCGTGGCCGATGCATGGTGAAACCACGTTCCATTGTTTTGATTCCAGAGGGGTACACTCTGAAAAGCGTACAAACTATTCAAGCCGTACGAAGTAAAAAGCTTCATATAACAAAGTATTCCGAGCACACTATCTAAAAGGTTTAATGTTTCGATAAATTTGTCGATTAATACTTCGTACTTTTGCGAATGTCTCGTTAAATGCTCATTACGAAAAAAACGTAAACGAACAATTATGAACCTTCAGATGAATAATCCATTAACATCAAAGATGAATGTTTCGTTTTCCAATTTTAACGTTAACAGCATCACAAGCCATTCACGAACAAAGCATTCATAAAATAACGAGTTTTTCATTTAAAAATTGTATTAGTTTATCGTAAAAGTATTCGTCAAATTATGGATGTGCTATAGGAAGGTGCTACAAGAATGGTTTGTTATAATACGACGTTTTTTCACAGTGAAAGCTTTTGTACGATCAAAATACTTCGTCAGGTTTGAAGCTTAGGAAAGAAAAGAACAACCCTCCCTCTGGCCTACTGCTCACGTCCATTCATCAGGAAGTTCACACTCAGATTTTTATGTCCAGTTGAATGAAATAAACTGGTCGAGGAATGGTGATGGTTCAAAGTCGAGCTGCTACTTCCTCAAGGGTTGTTCTTTTCTTGCCCTGGACTTCTCGTTCTCAAGTTACGCCTTACGGGGAGTTGCCCGGGTTTTGAGCCGTTTGGCCGCTGCTGGGTTATTTTTCACGTGGACCCGCGGTTTAGTTCCAACGACGCAAGTTTGTCTCCTCTAAAGCACCCAAAACCGCCTGTGTACGATTTCTGGCAATAATTATGTTCTTTCTCTGTTGAACACTGTCAGGTGCGTGCTTTGCGGTGTTCGTTGACTCTGAAGGAGGAATCGGCGGACACACTGTACGATTTCTTCAGAAGAGTGCAACCCTCACTGCAATCGTTGAACGTGGAGTTGAACAGCAGTGGATTAGGCGTCAATGCAGTGTTGGCCAACGTCCTGGGCATCCTTGACGGCACTCCTCTCACGACCCTGGCGTTGCGTTGTGGTCGGAGGTCACGGTTTCTCTTGCCGGCGCAGGACTTCCAGTTTCGAAAGCTGCAGAGCTTGCAGGTGAGGCTAGTTGCACCGTAACTCAGGTGCACTCAGGAATGTTATCAAAGCAACTTGTCTTGTCCGTCTGCACTGAGAAAATTTGAGTCATCACTTGATGACAATTTCAAGGCTAATTTTCCTTACAACAATGCGAGGGCAAACAACTTCGACAAAATTTGTACACCGTTATTTGAAATTCACGTTATTTCATTGTTATTTCAGAGGAATTTCAATTGTTCAATTACGTTACTTTGCAACATTTCACGTTATTTCGTCTTATTTCATCGTTATTTCGTCGTTATTTCAACGTTATTTCACGTTTTTTTACCGTTATTTCACCTTATATCAAGGGAAATGTACACCAAAATTCAAGTTGTTTGCCCCTCGCAACAATGTCATCAAAATAATTTATGATATTCACAGCAAACCTAACTGTCCACTAAGTACACACTTACAAATGCATGCTTGTAAGTACACACTTACAAACGCATGCTTGGCCAAGTACACACTTATAAATGGATGCTTGCAAGTACACACTTACAAGCGCATGCTGGACGCATGGAGTTATACGGCGTCAAGCATGCGTTTGTGTGTCCTTGCAAGCATGCATTTTTAAGTGTGTACTTGGCCAAGCATGCGTTTGTAAGTGTGTACTTGCAAGCGCATTTGTAAGTAGACAGTTAGGTTTGTAGTGTTGTTGTCACGCCCATGCAATTTGTATAGGAGCTTTGATGAAAGTGTCATCAATTTGCGATGAGATTGTCATAATTTGAAAGTGGCGAAAATATCATCCAGGTTTTTGTCATAAAGTGACAACAAATTTTCACAATGTGGGCCCGCCATTTAAGAATCAATGTGGCAAGAACTCTTCAAACTGAATGAGTACTCAGTCTATCTACAAATATACACCTGCAGATGCATACTTGGCGGAGTACTTATGTGCAGATGCATACGGTATAGGTGTGTATTCATTCAAGTATGCAACTGCACATGTGTGTGTACTCATCCTAAAACGCCTGGGTCATTCTACAAAAATGTTCGCGTTAAAATTAAAAATTAAAAGTCACGGAAAATTTAAAGTTGTCCGATTTTGTTCATATTGGGCTTGTTTTTCTTGTTTTGACATGCAAAATGCGAAAACCTCATAAATTTTCAACCCCAATAGTGGTTAATTCGAAGCACAGAAATCACTATCTCATCACGCCAACCGGGTCTCTCGAACCGTTTCGTCTCAAGGGGCAGGGACATCAAATTGTAACATTTCTGTAGAATGACACATCTTTGGATGTGTACTCAGCCAAGTATGCGTCTCTTAGTTGTATACTTACCGTACTGGGCACACACTTCGTAGAGAAGCTTCAATTTTGAATATTAGAAAGATTTATTCTAAAGCTTGGGCGGGAGAAGCAGCATATGAAAAGACAATCTTGCAAGATTGCCACTGTGATCTTCAATTTAAGTTTATAGTCAAGTAATCTGGATTAGTTTAAAATTTAGTGTTCAAACTCCGCTCTCTTGTCTAAGCCCCCAGCAAAGACTCAAACGAAGCTTTGTTCTAAAATTTTTGTGACTTCAGACACTCCTGGTGGACGACAGAGTTCTCGCGTTAGACCTTCAAAAGGGTCTAGTGCACCTCAACCAGAACTCTCTTCGGCAAGTGACCTGCTACCCCGAACTACTGCCGGCGCTGGCTGAATGCCCTCGCCTGAGGGAGGTGACTGTAACGGCCTCCTCAAGTCTGCGGGACTTGCACAAACTGACAACCCTGGAGGCCCTGGCGTTGCGCTGGACGGATCCCTGCCAAGCAGAGCACATCCGGGATTACTTCGACGGCGTGGATGCAGTCGAAGGGTTCAAGTAAGACGATTCATTACTTTCCTCGGACCATTTCGAGAGTATCTGAAAGCATTCGTATTTGATGACAAAGCTCAATGCGCTCTATCGGCTCGTGGCGAGGGGCAAACAACTTCGTCAAAATTTGTACACCGTCATTTCAAATTCACGTTATTTCAAGCGTATTTCAACGTTATTTCACTTTATTTCGCGTTACTTCACTGTCATTTTAACGTTATTTCAAGGGAAATGTGCACCAAAATTCAAGTTGTTTGCCCCTCGGCTCGTGGCCAATAGTCGCGGCGTGCCAGTTTCTTTCATTCTGCCGAGAACTCCATCAATTCTGTTTCAAATGTCAGTGCATGATGTGTCTGTCCGATTTTGCAGGTTGCCGAGCGAAATGCACCTTATCGTAGCAGACTGGTATATTTCTCCAGCCGTGCTGACTGGCATTGGCAAAGGCTTATCCAAATTCACCACTCTTACGTATGTGAGAGGCCTTGGACCGGCTGGAAACTTGGACTTCATCTCCCCCATGGATTCATTGATAAATTTTCGAGGTGAGCTCAAAGAATTTAAGATCGATGGTTCACCGCATTCTGCGCTTGCACTTGAAGGCAATTCGAATTTGGGAGGAATGTCAACTGGTCGTTTCATCCACCCTTCTTTGAAGAAAAGAAAGCATTTGCCTTCGTATCTGTGTGTGTGTGCACTATCGATGTATCATTGTTCAAGGAAGGCGCTGAGGTTGAGTCGAGGGGGAACACTGAGAAAACAAACGTGGCCAATTCCGCACGAGGTGGTGTGGTCAAATTTTGTTAAGATTTGACCACGTTTCGTGATGCGGTCATCGCAATTCGGAGCGCAAACGTGGTCAAGCTTATCGAGGCCCAATCCTTTAACATGGTGCAAACGTGGCGGATTCCGCGTTTGGTGATGCGGTGACGAGACTGACCTCGGCCGCGTCACCAAACGTGGTCAAAGTCCCTGTCCGCACCACACGTGCGGAATTGGCCGCGTTTGTTTTCTCAGTGAAATCACTCTTAAAACCTACGACCCGACTATTACGTCTATCACTCTCTAGAACGCCTCAAAATTATAGGGATGTAGCTGAAAACAGACCAAAAAAACCCTAAATTTGATCAAATTTGGAGAATTTTGGCTATTGCGCTACTATTACGCGTGCTGTCACGGACAGAGTGACCCGACTAGTACGCGAGTGCTTTCCCTCTCGGGTTCAGTAATCAAATTTGGATGGCACCATGCCATTTCTAGCCGGGGAAAAGCCGGAAAGTTTGTTTAGGATTGATTTAACTCCTAAGTTCTAGGATAGGCTCGCACTCTTAAAGTCGTACCGTGAAGATTCTCTATATTATGGAGGTGCAGCTGACTTAATCAATTTATAACAGTGTATCATTTACATATTTTGACGAATTTCATTTGTATTTTGGAGAAAATTTCACCACCCTCGAGTTCAGCTTAGAACGGGGCTTGCGGTGAAAATTGTCATTGTATTGCCAACACCAAGCTATGCGTTACTCTAGAAGCCAAATAATAATAGGCTACACCCCATCCAGTTAATTTTTCTGACTTATGATAATCTGGTTTACACCTATCTCCAAGTATGGGTGGCTGTACTTTTTTCTTCTTTTGTGCTTTAGTTGCTTTTATATAAAACTTGCACGGTCACACTCTGGACCCCTGTTGACCCATAGTTATGGAGGTATTCGTAAAGTTAGAAAGTATCCCTGCAGAAAAATTAAAGGTTTGGGAGGTGGTGGATTTGTGACTCAGTATTTAAAAGCCCAAAGGACATATAAACAGCGCAAAGAAACGTTTTGGAAATGTGGAAATCCGGCACCACGAGATAGGCAAATTATTAAAAATCTCGTGCTCGACAGTTAGGTCCCGGCACCATTTGGTTCTTTGCAGGGACACGGTAAAAGCGGAACCTGGTTTTCCCAGGAAGCCTATCGAGGGGTTACCCACTCCGCGAATCGTGTGTACACTCAGTCCGGGAATCGTTCGTAATTTTCTCAAAATTTTACCGAAAATCTTAAAAGTTTCAATGGAGAGGGATATGTAATTGACACAAAACACTCAAAAGCTAAGAAAAATCTTCAAAAACCTCTCCTTTTAAGCAAGATTTGTTCATGAATCGCGGGAATCCGGAATCGTGTGTACGCCCAAGTACCGAGTGGGTAACCCCTCGAAGCCTATGGTAGAGACCTAGGCAACTCCAGTGAGTTCCTGGGAAAACCAGGTTCCGTTTTTACCGTGGAGACTTTGGGAGAGCTACTAAATTTTGTACCTTAACCTGAAAAACTCGCACAACTCTAAACATGCGAATTTTTTTCGTACAAAATTGTACGCAGAACCGCAGAAATTCGTGCTTAACTGTGTACTAATTTTTGCGAAAAGAACGTATGCGCTAAATCGTGTGAGAGCACACTGAGAATCCAAACGCTATAAATATAGCGTCAATTGGTGCAATGCTTTTTCCATTCCCTTGCATTAGCATAGGACGTTTTCGGGACGCATTGCACGTATGGTGCGACATCTCAGTGCTATATTCATCGCGTTTGGAATCTCAAAGCATGTTCTAAAATTGCGCAAAGGAATTAGTTGGGGAGTCACGTCGAAATTTGGGCTGGCTTTAAGGTGATTCTTTGGCATGACTAAGCCATTCCGTTTTTGACATGAAGGTAAACATGCACCCGAAACGACTCGAAACCACGCTGACTCATTTTATAAGTGCGAGGTTTGATTGGGATTGCCCATAAGTCTGAAGTCCTGTTTCCTTTTTCAGTGAGAGCGTACTCAATCAACAATTCATGGGCAGACCTTCGAAGCAGCAGCCTGCGCAAGATCGAACTATTGGACCCTGGACACAAGACTGAGGCGTGGCAGCGATGGTTGATGGCCAAGTTGCCCGCAATGGAGATCACCATAAGGAAGTCAAGACCTGCGTTTCTCAGAGGATTTGGTTACAACGAGCTGTGAAATAATGTTTTCATTTTTACTTCTTACTTGCGAACTAGTGATTTGCGGTTGTCTCAGGCAGCGTTCAAGTTAAGAAAATATATGTAATTTTTGTTTGAATCCTGTTTAGTTTCCTCTGAAGAGATATTTCTTTATTTTTATAGACGCTGTTATCGTATATTTTAAGATTATTCGTACATATTTTTATAGCTACTCTGTACTTCATTTCAGGTTCGGCATTTTACTTTAAGAAATGTTTTATGTTATTCAAAGTGCAAGGCCTTGCTTTGGCGTTAGCCGCACTTGTTGCCTTCGGTACTACTTGAGATGTTCTCGTGTATCTGCATAACTTAATATTCCATTCGCTGAAGAAAGTGCTGTATTTCCAAATAAATGTTCCTGGTTCGGGAGAAAGTAAAGAGGTTCATTTGGCGGCAATCCACTTCCCTACAAGAAAATACCATTCCCAATGAGGTGCTGCCGAGCGGCTGTCGTGAGAGTGCACTCGCAGCCTCTTATTCACTCTATCGCCAGTAGCCAGTCACTGAAGCCTACCACAATAATATGTCGAATTTCTCTCTTAGATACAAACAATTTACTGCATAACACTGGTGAAACAAAGGCATTAAAATCATGCCTTTAAGGGAGGACCCTGTTGAAACTTTCGAGTACCTAGTTTTTTGAGACAATCCCAGAAAGTTGAAACTTGGCTTAATTGTTAGAAACAAAATTAAATCCAAAATATTGAACAGTCTCTGAGAAGAGTGTCACGTAAGTGTATTTTAGAGCGATGGGGAAAATTCTTCCTGTGTCTTTCATTGGGACGGAAAGGGTTCAAATAAATTTTGGGTTATCCTCCTAACGATGTAGAAAAGAGATTTTAGTGACGGACTTTTCAAATTCAATTTTTGTTCTGAGATACCAAGTTTCAAATTCTTACATCTCAGAAAAGTCAATTTTTTGCCTTTTTTTCAAACTTTTGTTTCTGTAGACAAACGTAGGGCTCATGTTGAGAAATCCTCAATAAAATTTGTCGACAAGTCATCTTTGAACAGAGTCCATGCCAGACGACTCATGTATATGTCTGCCAGGAACGCAGAAAGTCTTTCTATGACAAAATTTTTTGTCGACTGAGTAAACCATTGAAGTTGAGCGTATAAGCCAACGACAACTGATCTTAATGTTATTTCTTTCCAAATGATGAAGGAACTACCTACTTTACTTAAAGGTGTTCAACCTGTTGAATCTGAAAGCTTCTATGCTCATTTTTATCTATGAACTTAAAAATTGTAATTTTGGCAATGTTGGCCATTTTTTCACCAGGGTTCCCCTGTAAGCAACAAGTTGTCTTGGCAGACTCCATGCGACGATTCACTGGATTTGACATTAATTAACCTCCATAAAAGTAGTTCAGATCAGCCTGCCGTAAACTGAGTCTGTTAACTATTGCAACATATTGCAATGAATTGACGTGGGACCAATCAGGCGGACAGACAAACAGAAAAAGTGTTTCAACCCCGTTCAACCCCAACCGAGAAACAGGCTTCGCTATCGCTCAGCCATTAATAAGCTGATTTTTTTTGTTAGGCCTTTAACAGTTTGGAAGGTTTTCAGAGTGTGTGCGCTGGGTCTTGTTAGAGTGTTAAGAAAATGAAGGAGCTCAGGTTGATGAACAAACACTGTATTTTATTCGTAATCAGCATACATTTTGTAGACTCAACACCAGGTGAGCCACGCGGATACAACAACCTGCACCACATGTCGCACAACAGATAATGGATGGAGACGTAATGAACGGATGGACAACGAATTACAAAGTATCGCGGAAATTTGCACAACATGTCTCCAGTTTACAGCCACGTTTGATTCCGGCTCGCGCAGCTCCCAAAAGAGGTGAGATATACAATCTGACAACATTTTACAGGTAATTTTATCAGCGAATATCCGCAAATTGACGTGCATTCAAAATTACTACTCTTACCAGACATTAAATTGTATAGTCGACGCTGATTCAACGCCACTGACGATTTACGTCGATTTTAGGGTTGAGATCAGAGCACACATTGGTTGGCTTGGTGGTTGTAATGTGGTTGACAGAGACCATCTCTCCCTGTACTGTTATTTCCAAAACACCAATATGATCTACCCAAAAACGTCCAGGACCATCATTCATCACTTCATAATCAAATTTCCCAGTCGTCCCTATCTCTTTTTCCATGTAATTCTTCAGAATAGAAAAGTAGTTACCTTGCGAAATTTCGCCAATGTCAACTGCATTAGCATGACCACAAGGTAAATGGTAATTAAATGTCTTACATTGAAAACCAACGATGAGCTGAGAAATAGTGCTTGGATCGTTCACAATATTACACATAGCTTCTAGCTCTGACAGAGACTTGGAAGTTAGTCGTTCAGCAGCATAACAGAGCCTAAGGTACTGAACTGTCTCTTTCAAATATTTCTTTGCTTCGTCCACATAGATGTAACCAACATTAAAATAAGCAAGGACTGCCCTGAAAATTAGGTTCAATGCAGGGCCATATCTTGGGAAGTCACTCAACATGTTCCCTAATTGAGAAAGCATTTCTTCTGAAGAATCAAATTTCTGCTCCAAAGCAGAATCGATCTTGCTGAAAACGTAGGGTTTAGCCTTGAGAGCAAGCGCTTCCAACGTATCCACTGAACAACGTTTCTTGAAAGAACACCAAGCTTTACCCATCTTGATCACCGCCTGAAACATTTCTGGTAGGCTCATGTTCTTCACTTTCAGGAAGCATTCAGGCTCTTTGAGCATGACAAAAGAAATCACAGAAGAAAAAGCCACACTAATCGGCAAGGCAGGATCTGCCGCCAACAACATATTCCCAAGCAACAGTCCACTGCCTACAAACGTGTAACCAGCGGCAGCAATACGAAGCCACAACCAGCAAGTCTCCTTACACATGAGGCTCTGGTCATGAGTAGCTCTGTCTCTTAGTTGCAAAACTGAACGTACACCTGAGTAAAAAGCAGAGGCCCCCAAAATACTACCTGCGACAGGAGGACTAAATACTAGCAGTGGCAACGCGAACACAGAGACTGCACCTACGAATAAATCGAGTCCACTTGGCGCGCACCCTGAAGTGGTCCCATGTTGAAGCATTACTTCACCTTCTTTCAGACAGTAGATGCCTTTTTCAGGATAGCAAATCTTCCCCTTAGGTAATTTGTTATTAGAGAGAAAGTCGTCAAAACTTTTGTAACGGCGTCCATACAGATCAACAAAGAAGTTCTTCTGAAGAACCTGTTCACCGGAATCTTGGCTGGGTACATTCACCCGGAATACGGGAACATGCAACGTGCGATTGCCGGTAATCAGACTTATTACTATCATAGCAATGTCGACGCCATTGTTTTTGATATGCTCTTCCTTCTCCAAACATTGAAGTACTCGGTCAATCTTCTTTGTTTCTTCTGTATCATACCCTTTTGATTTCCCACACACGACATTGCCAATCCTTTCTCGTAACAAGGTGCTTATTTCTGCCCTATTTTCAAAGAAACAACACTCGTCTGTACAAAGACACTGGAGTTTCACCCTATAGAACTTCGATGCCAGGAGTTGATCACAATACTGTCGCTGCTTTGCTATAACTTCCTTCAGTGTTTCAGGGTCCCAATCTGCGGGCGGGTTATCTTGAAACCTGAAAAAAAAGAACAAACTGTTGAAAGGAGATACATAAGGAAGGAGAAGACTTTTAGTTCTCTTGCTCATGAAGTTTTTTGAGCAGACGTACAATGAACTTTTTTCTATTAGACTATGCGCAATTTTGATCGTTTTAGTGATAAAATTGTTATGAACAAAATCGTGCAAAGCTACAGAAAAAATAGTGCATATTACGTTTGCACAAAAGACTTTTTGGCAAGAGATCACTCAGAAAAGCTTGCAATGAAAAGTACTTTGCAGGACGAAGTATTCTCCGGCATTGTATAACAAACTCCCTTGCGAACTTTTTTCTTCGCATTGCAAAGAAATACTTCGTAAGTTGCAAAGGAAACAGTTTGCAACGTTGCGAAGCATTGGTTTGTAACGTCGCAAAGAAATACTTCGAAAAGCAGAGAAAACAGTTTGTAAGAGTGTTCGCAATACAATGCCGAAGAATACTTTGCAAGGTTTTTTTTTTTTGAGTGATCAAAAGTCATTCAGAGGCTGAGAGTGTGGTCTCGCCACAAAATGGTCAGACAAAATTGTCTCGCCACAAAACGGTCAGACGAAAAAGTCTACCCACAAAACGGTCAGACAAAAAAGGTCTCGCCCACAAAATGGCGAGTTCATTTTAGTCAGGCCGCGGCACACAGGACGTGATTACCGTGCATGCGCCGGACGGTGAGACTTTTGTGTCTGTGTCCATGGTCCACGTACACACTCACAAATGAGTCATCTGACGGAACAACGTATCTTCATAGGCAATCAGACGGTCATCATACGCTGTTATGTACTAATGTCACACAAATGCATGTGTATAGCGTGGAGTTAAATCACTTATTCCAGGAACGTGAAATCACGTTGAAACAAACGTGCGCCATTCCACGCCAGACCGCCGAACCCCTACAAAGACCTACCTTAGATTTCACTTATTTTTAGTTGGCTGGTAGGGACCAACCCCCTGAACACCCAAACCAAAGGATTTTAAAAAATATGAAACCGTCTAGGAATGGAATATTAATTTTTTTTTAAGTTAAGTTTTATTTCACATTTTCATGATTTTATAAAAAATTTCTTTCTGATAAGGCTGAAGAACGGTTAAAGTGGGTCAAGCATTCTAGCGCTTTCCAATAAGGGTATCTTTACTTGGGAAAATTTATCAAGATTACTAAATATTTGCTCTCCTGATAATATGTGGTCATGGATTTGGCTCACTTTTTGGTCTGATAAAATGGTCCGAACAAATCCCTGAAATAAAACCTTTGACTTGGACACATCTTCAACTTATCGGGAAGAAATGTTGAGATTTCACAATTAACAGTTTCATTCAAATGACCCGAGCACCAACAGTTTCTTTTATAATGAAGTTCTAGGACTCAACATGATATGAATAAGCACAGAAATCCATTCAATAATTAGGAAGAATGCATAGTCACTATTTCTGAGGGTATAATTCTATGGATTGTTGTTTTATACAAGTGGTTTACGTTAAAATTTTTGTATTTATACCTCCACACTTGGCTTCCTATGATGCAATGCTCAATGCATTCAAAAATAGTGACGTATGACTCCATTCTTCTTATTAAATTGATTTCTAGACATATACAAATCATTTTGAATCCTAGAACTTCATACAAGAAGATACATCAGCAAAAATAACTGAAATTGGAAGCACCAGAGCCCCTCCCCCCCCCCTTCCCCTTTTCCATCCCAATGAGCGACGCAGGAAGATTTTTCCCCAACGCTCTCAAATACACTTAAGTGGCAGTTTTCTCAGAGACCGTTCAATATTATGGATTGAATTTTGTTTTGGGAACTCATCATAATGGACCTAGGAATAAAGCAAAGTTTCAACTTTCTGGTAACATACTTAGCCCCGCCTTCAGACTTATCAGAGAGGAAATCATTGACCAAAACCCTCTCTGGCGTTCAAAAAAAATATCATTAAGCAAGTGAAACAAAATTTAACTTAAAAGATGAATATCCTATTTATTAACCGTTTGATATTCCAAAGTCCTTTGGTTTGGGTGTTCGTTCAAAGGGTTGGTCCCTACCAGTCAACCAAAAACAAGTGAAATGTGAGATGGGTCATTTTGGGGGCCCATAAACCAAAAATCATAAAACAATATTTCACTGATTTTTTTAAGAGTATTAATGAACTTATTTAAAAAGCAATAAAATTTGTATTGCATTAGTAGCGCAATGAAAATGTTATTGCAGTATAAGTGCAACAATAATTGTAATGCATTAGTGCATTTGTCACATTACTAGCGTAGTTATCATTTTATCACACCAAAACTGATAATCTGGGCCCAGACCGGCCAAAACCTTAGGGACTTCTTGCATTTTTAATACGATAATGTTTTTATTGCTGCCACAGATGCGATAATTCGAAGGTATCACACTAGCCTCTTTATCGCAGCAAATTGTATGGAACATATCACATTAGAAATACCAGTAATGTTGTGAGATATCTTCTGCTTTGAAAGCTTCAAGGAGTGCATAAACAAAGTTTCAGAAATTTCTTCTGACAAAGCTCTGACCGTGTCTATACTACTTTAAGCCTCCAGCTGAAGATAGTTGCCGAACGGGCTTGACCGTACCTGGTTTCCCCCCCCCCCCCCTGGACATCGCCTATGTCTTTTCCATAGGCTTCCTAGGATAACCAGGTACCGTTTCTGCCGTGCAGGCCCGAAACGATCCTGCTTTACAAACTGAAGTGTGTTCTCAGCATGCGTCTGCAAGTACACACCTACAGACGCATACTTGGCTGAGTACGCCCATACATCAACAGATGCATAATAGGGTACTTTCGTAGATCCCTGAACCGGAAGCACACAGACGCCATGTTGGCGGAAGTAGATCCAAACTTGACATGGGAAAGAGACGTTAGTCAAACGTATCGGCCACACTTGAACATAAACAGTCGTTTGATACTTGTTTGCAGTGCATGCATATGTGTTTCGCGAGCAATATTTGTACAGCTCGGCTATAGTTTTAGATCCGAAGAGAGGTTAGTTTCCGGCCAATTTGGCGTCTGCTGGTCTGCTTGCTTCCGGTTCAGGATCTACGAAAGTACCCTATTGGATGAGTTCACATCTATTAAGTACGCTGTCAAAAATTCTGTACTATAGTACGGAAAATGTAAGAACGAAAATGGTACGGAAGTACGGAAAAGAGTACGGAACGTCCGAGCTTTTCCCATAAGAACTCATGTAATCGGGTACGGAAAAATAGTACATAAGTTCCGTAGTAGGACAGGTGCGGAAGGTCCAGGCAAATTATTGACCAGACATGTTCCGTACCTTTTCTGTACTTTTTATCTCGCGGTGTATGCATCTTGCTGTGTTCTCAGCTAACTGTACACACTGCTAAAAAAACACTGAAAAGGTACGGAACATGTCTGGTCAATAATTTGCCTGGACCATCCGTACTTTTCTCCGTACCTCCGTACTATATCCATCCGTACCATTACCGTACAAAAGTACGGAATTGTTTACAGTGCATCTGTAGACGTGTACTCAGACAAATGTGCATCAGTAGGTATATCGGTATGTACTTGCAAGTACGCATCTTTAGACGCATACTAGGTACACACTAAAGTTTGTTGAGTGCTTGCATGAGATATCGTGCAGGCAGCGGCCTCCTGCGCCAAACTCAAAAACCTTGCTTTCGCTCCAAACTTACATCTTAGAATGCGACGGCATGATGATGACTGCGTCCCTCGTGATTTATCTTCCGTCTGCTAAGTGACTGACGGCTCCACTGGATGCGGGCGGCGTGCGAGAGTAAGACGACACACAAGATCGATCTGGCCTAGCTAGCATGCGAGACTCAGACTGGGCCGAGTGAAGAGCGAACTGCAGCGTTGCCTAAGTCGAACGGCGCTCGGTGGTTATCGGGGAGGCGGCTTATCGGTGATCCGCGGGTGGGGGGGGGGGGAGAGGGGAGAGGGGAAGGGGGAGAGAGGTAGGGAGGGGAGGGGAAGGGGAAGGGGGAAGGGGAGAGAGGAAGGGAGGGGAGAGGGGAAGGGGGAGAGAGATAGGGAGGGGAGAGGGGAAGGTGGGAGGGAAGAAGGTAGGTGTACGCCAGACCGCGTCTCAGCGTAACTGGCTTCGCTCCGCTTCCCCAGTTACGCCGATCCGCGCCTGGCGTTTGAGTTACACACTGAGAATGAAAGAGTCATGAGCGTGACTAAAATTTTGGGCGAGGAATTCTTTATTACCCAAACCCAAATCCTCACCCATATTTGGGCATTGATCATGACTTTTTCATTGCAGTGCACCTATACGTTGGCCTGCGACTCTAGCCTACCTTCGGCAGGGTTTCTCTAGTGCCTTCGGCACACTTTTGGTGATAAACTTCTTAATTTTGGGTCTAAATCTAGGTTTGAGAGCAAATTGGTTGTCATTTTCCTTCTCAGTACATCGAAAACTACTCGGACTCAATGTAAAACTCCACTTTAAATGTCATGGGACTTATTTGGTCCCATGATTTATGGAATTTTAGGCACATCCGACGCTGATACAAGTTTGTTCCCGTCTGCTCTACAAATCCAAAAGCGTACTTTGTATGCTCTACCTAGAGCACACAATGTACGCTTTCGGATTTGTAGAGTGGCGACTCACCTGACGCCTGCTGCAAATTGTACTTTCACTAGACAATTTGTCCCGCCTGGCTTACTCAAAATTGCACCACCACCGGATGTGCTTAAAATTGCATCATTCATGGGACAAGAAAAGTCCCAGGACATTGAGTATGTCGAGACCAAAATTTTGGTCCGAAATCGCTCAATTTCGGGTCGAAGCATAGTTTGAGATCAAATTTGATGCCATTTTCGAGATCAGCACATCGAAAACTACCGAAATTGATTTGAAACTCAACACTTAAATTTTTGGTCCGAAATTGCTTAATTTCGGGGCGAAAAATAGATTTGTGAAGAAATTTGATGTCATTTCCTTGATCAGCACATCGAAAACTACCGAAATCAGTGAAAAAGTATAGCAGATAAAAAGCCCATTCTAGTAAATTCTATGACACTACTAGGGATGAGTCTCCCTGATATTTTCCCCCACAGATCTGAGCAAGTATGCAAACAAAATCTTGCGAGAATTAACATTTTAAACGTCTCTACTAAATTTACAATCAAGGTAGGTGTACGCCAGACCGTGTCTTGTCGTATAAGGCTTCGCGATGCTGCGCCAGTTACGACAATCCACGCCTGGCGTTTACACCTACCTTGGCCTGCGGCGCTGGCCTGCCTTCGACACGCGTCTATTCTTCTAGAAATATGGTCAGGTTGGGTTGTACCAAGGCCCAAAGTCGGAAAGAAGCAAAAACCGAAAATCGATTTTCTTCGCTTTACTCCCCCCTTAAATAGGGTGCGAGGATTTAATCTCATAGCAGTTACGTTCCGAGTTACGTTACACTGTACTAAAATGTCCTGTCAATGCCGTTAATTTATTACCAATGTTTTGCTGTTATGCATTCACGGCGTTTGACTCAGGGTGCCAGGGTTCACTGTGATCTGGCCACATTAAACGCCGTGAATTGGAGCCTGATTTGCAGTACTTCAGTGCTCAGCGGCGTCAAACTCACAGTGCTCAGCGGCGTCAAACTCACAGTGTTTACTGTGGACCAGATCACAGTGAATCGCGGGAGCAGATAACAGTAAACGCTGTGAATTGGACTAGTGAAAACTGGTAATAAATTAACGGCATTGACAGGACATATTTTTTTACAGTGTAAGCACTTCGTTTTTGGGTCTTGCTCTACAGGGTTGCCACGCACCTGGAAAACAGGGAAAACCTGGAATTGTCAGGGAAAAATGAATCATGTCAGGGAGAACCGGGAACTGGAAATGTCAGGAAATTTGTGGAAGACAGGTCAGATCTCAACTTCCTTGCCAAAAAGTCAAAAGTGCTCATCAGCCGGTGGATATCCTTCCAAGCGCGACAACTCCCTTGAAAAATTGCCCCAAAGGTCGGGAAAATGACAAAAATTGTCTTTGAAAAACCTGGAAATGTCAGGGAACTCGAAATCCAAGAGCGTGGCAACCCTGTCTATGTTAGTTAAGTGTTAAGGACTGAGTAGATTATAGGTTAGAATACGGAAAAGTTCAAGGAAGGGCCGAGGTGTTGAAGCCCCTTCTCTGGGACGCTTGGTAGGCCAGGAGGTTGGCTCTATGTGGGTAACGGGTGCACTGGAATTTTGCGAAGGAGACGACTGCGCAGTTTTCCAGGCGCGGTGTGGCCGCTGACGGCCACCATCTCAGCGGCCGGCCAGGTGGAGGCGGCCAAAGCTCTAGACGCGCTTTGAGCTTCAGAGAGACTATATGTATGGGACTCGACTCGAACCGACTCAAACCAAACGTGAACCCGCACCACTAGACCTCGTTCGAAGAGCAATCCATTGGTGGGGTCACACGTTTGGTTCGAGTCTTATTTAGCGACTCCGGAGCTCAAAACGCATTTAGAGTCTGGGCCCCCTCGGTCTTCTGGCCCACTGTGCCCATGTGAGATTCCCAAAACGCCTGGTAAGCAACCTGCATCGCACATACTCCTGGCGGTAGGCGAAAGATAAACAATGGCCTCCCCCATCGGGGGCTCCTTAAACCGCGCCTGGCCGCACAGGTCGCACTAGATCGACACCCTTTACGACGCTGTCTATGTGAGAAAAACAGGGTTTTCGTCAAAGGTTGTCCAAATCAAACCAAACCTTGGTTTTGGATTCTCCTCGACCCTAAGACATGTGAATAAAAATTTGAAATTTTTTCGACTTTTTATTTTACTCCAAAGACGCTGCAATTGATTTTGAAAAAATTTTTTTTTTTCTTTTTCATAGATCAACTTACAAGGAACGTTTTGAGTCGTGTCCCATGTCTTGGTCTTGCTTAGTTTAATTGATATGAATCATTTTACGTGAAGTGTTTTTCTCATTTTTATCCCCAAAATTCATGTGAAAATTTTTCAAATTTTTTTTGACAACTTTTGTTGAAATAGGAATTTTTTTTTTTATTTTACTCAAAAGACGCGGCAATGGATCTTTTTTTTTTTAAAAAAAAGATCAACTAACAAGGAACGTTTTAAATTGTGTCCCATGTCTCTTGGTCTTGCTTAGTTGAATTGATATGAACCATTTAACATTAAGTGTTTTTCTCATTTTTACCCCAAAAATTCCAAATATGCCCCTTTGCTTATCAATTTGATTATAACTAGTGTCAAACTGAAGACATTTTAACTTTGTGAACCTCCTTGCAGACCAAACACTCTATTTGGCTCCCCAACTTAACACAGTGTGTCGCAGTATACCATGACAGGTCATTTAACATTACATTTTGGAATAACGAGCACCATGGTTATTGCTGGGGCAGTAGAGCAGTTCAACTATTTATCGGTGAAACAAGATAATTTTTTTTTCTACTTGTGACGGATGAATTGCTTTTATGAAAAACGAGAGGAGCGCAGGGGCAACGAATAGGGGAATCAATAAAGAACTTGTAATTAGAAAATTCAGGTCTCGACAACTTAATTGAGGAGAATTTGGGCCAACGACTAAATTTGTTACGTAAACTTCCAAAGCTCACAAACTTAAGGGAGTTGGGCGCTTTACCTTGGGGTTTAAGTTCATCTGATAGTGAGCAGTTAGAAACTAAAATGCAATCCTGATGCCACAACTTCTTTGGAAAATGGTATTTCACATTTTTTCCATTTTACAGTAACCTTAATTGACCTGTTATGGTATTTTGGGACACACACTGTTAAGTTGGGGAGCCAAACAGTGTGTTTGGTCTGCAAGGAGGTTCACCAAGTTAGAATATCTTCAGTTTGACACTAGGTACAGTCAAATTGATAAGGAAAGGGGCATATTTGGAATTTTTGGGGTAAAAATGAGAAAAACACTTAATGTTAAATGGTTCGTATCAATTCAACTAAGCAAGACCAAGAGACATGGGACTCAATTTAAAACGTTCCTTGTTAGTTGATCTTAAAAAAAAAATACGATTTCAAGAAATCCTAGGAGTCACGAAGTCAATTTGATTATTGTGTAAGAGTGTGGAGAAAGAAAAGAAGTGGTGTTGTGAAGTTGTGGCTCAGGGGACTGAGCATGGCAGTGGTACCGATGTGGTCGATGTGCTACCCGTCGAAATTTAAACTTGACAAAATAGAAATCAAAATGCTGTTAAATTCAAAAAATTCCAATGCTAATGTATTCCGCAGTGTTCTGACAATGGAACATCTTTAAAGTCCATCATTATTAAAAGTTCTTGGCAGAAAGAAGGCAGTAAATTTATTTTCACGGGTTGGCAACTAGTTTCTCGCGTCTGCGCCCTTACGAAAATCGCGAAGCTGAAAGCACCAGCAGTCGCGCATTAAACTGCCCATCCATTGTGCTGACGTTGAATTGTTTGGCTTGTTTCAAAGGCTATGTTCTCTATCATGTTTTCTTCAATTCTGTGTAATAGTTCTCCCTTACAACGATCAACACCACACGGTTGGTTTTACAAACTTCATAACTCGGGAGGGATGGTTTCGAAACGCGGGTGAGTCTTGTTCGAGGAACATGAGCACTGCAAGTCGCGAGGTGGGCGAAGTGGTCCTAGTGCTAACTGAATCACAACAACAACAAAATTGTTTTCATTGACAGAAAAAAAAGGAATATTTGAGAAACTGTAATGTCAGAAAAAAAGAACTTTTGTTTTGCTAATTTTCTGTGAATATTTTTTTAGAAGTAATCCACAAAAATTGAAAATTTGTTTATATAATTTTCATGAGCAGGAAACAAAGAAAAAACAAGAAAGAGAGCAAAATTATACAGATTTCAAATGCTACAGTTGGTTAAACTGTTACAGGTTGCAAACCTACTGCGCATGTCCAAAAACACTCCAATCAAGAAGTATATTGGATAGTTCTACCAAAAACTGCGTTC